CAGACCCCACCTGTAGGTAGGAAGTCTTTCTAACCTGCAAGGCTGAAACTACATGCACACTTAAGTTGTGTGTTGTACACTGAGCCAGAGAACTTCATGTTTTACTGGTATTCATAAGTTTGAGGGAGTTGAAACAGGAAAGTCACTTCATGCATTTTTTTAATGTTCCACTATGACATCATGCCAATAAACATGTAATCCCTGTGTAACTTTGTGTCGGTGTGTTGTGTTTGTGTTGCCTACAGGACCTGGATGTGAGCAGTCCAATGCAGTCTCTACTCACACTACCTGGCAGTCAGAGGAAGCCATCACCGCATAACTTGGTGAGTGCCAGCCGCTAAGTCAAGCCATGTGTAACTACAGAGCTGCTCAATGAAATCCAGTTGTGTCACTCAAGTATGCGCCGGGCGTTGCGCAACCCTAGACCTGCGAATACTGGGCTGCGAAATAGTGCAATGCACGAACTTGAGTGTCGCGACTGGATTCCATTGAGCAGGACTGTAGTTGCTGTGTGACCACCATGTTTCTTCACCCGCAGTGATCGTGATCGTAACTGCTCAAACCCCACGCTACAACAGAACGGGAGTTGGTACATGCAATAGTGATTACAGTACGTGTGGAGACATGTAATTAATATTTCTGACACACTTGTGTGTCATGTAATCTTCGCTGTTGTCCTGACTTCTAACATAAATATGTCAAATTGAGTGGGTCTATTAAAGTTAGAAACCCTTCCCTGTAGAACTGAACCTTGCTGCCTGTACTAACAAATTCACGGTTCGCTTGAGACTCAGCTAGACTGAGTTTTCAGCATCCGTAGGAACCCCACCACCCTGCAAAGATCAAAGGCGTAGATGCAGATACAGCTCCTAAAGCTGTACCATGCAGTTGTACAACTCTGCACTGATAACGAATCCGGGTTGATTCCGGTGTTCATCACTCCCTGCACAGGTGAGAATATCATCCTTGCTCATCTCCAACGGCTGTTTGTGGATCGGAGCTAACAACGGTGCCATAATCAGTATACCATGCAGCAGGCAGAGACCACAGTTGCCAGGAGAGAGTGGCCCACACTTGTTAGTCAACAAGGATGACGAGGTGAGTTGTACCGGGCATAGTTCAAGGGCAAGAGTCGGGGCTCATATGCAGCGTGATCCGCTTCCGGAATTGAAACTCTGGCACGGTAGCTTGCCTGTGCGAGATCATGTATGCTTGTAGAACTTGCAAACTCTCCCCGGTCTTTGTGGGCTTGCTGCCCCGTTTAATACCTGATGCTCTCCATTTTGTGAATATCTTGATCATCTCATCTCCTCATACTAGCCTGAGCATGTACTTGCGTAATAAAACTCTGTATTAAAGCTGTCACTGCTGTTCTAAAGCACACCATTATTGTCATCTCCCCCGTGCGCAGGGCGCCGTCGCAGCCGTTGAAGTTTCTGAAGGAGATGATCCGCTGACTGCAGCTGCTGCCGATGAAATGGACGGCAAGCAGCCTGCGGGTAAAGAGGAGACGGACGGCACGAAAGCGCAGGCGTATGATATGAGTAAGTACACATGGTTGTGCTGTTTGTCAGTTCATTTAAATGCGACATGATTGTAATTGTAATACCGTGTTTCCCCGATTATAAGTCGCACCCCCGTTATCAAGTTTGAGCCATAATGTGTTGATATATTCACTTCAGTAGTAAGTCATGCTCGATTGTAAGGGGCACCCCCTTTTGTATCCTTGAATTTAGTGTAGAAAAAAGGTGCAACTTACTTGTATTCGGGAAATACGGCAATACAGTAAATACGCAATGTACATGTTACACCGCTTACCTGTTGTATTGCAGTGCAGCATATCCAGCAGTCTAGCCATTCTTACACTGATCCATTGCACCGTGGGTTGACTATTCGCACAGCTATAGACACGCGTAATCAGTTGTGTCAGCCATTGCAAATCACTTCTTGGTCTGATGGGAATATACAGGTTGTGATAGTTACCACCTCACCCTCGCTGTTAGGCACTGCATCTGCCACCCTGGTATTACAGGCATGGTGGTGGCCTGGCACGAGCTAAACTCCCTAAGCTGGTTGTGTTTCTCAACGCAATTGTATAGCAGGTTGTAACGCGGACTCGCAACTTTTTTTAATTTTTATTGCTGCATCCCTGTGTGCCGTGTGCCAAAGTATGATGATCATGCACCACCAAGCCACACAGGTCAAGTGCAAGTAAACCTGGTTTTTGCGCTGACCTGTGTTAAAATCTTCAAAAGAATAGCACCTCAAGAAGACGTTTTGCTTGTTAGTATGGGCAGTATTAACAGAATTGTTACTATACAATTGCTGAATGACGCAGAAGTGGAAGATGGGCGTAGGAGTTATGACTGCTTCTGGTGAAAGTGGATGGCAGAAAGGAGGTGGATGGCAGAAAGGAAGCGGATGGCAGAAAGGAGGTGGATGGCAGAAAGGAGATGGACGGTACGAAACACGGGTATATGACATCTACCCTCGAGTCCCATAACAGCCTTTGTTGGTTTGGCTCGTTCAAGCCTTTCTTTGAAATGCCATGTTGTTGACTAGGTGTTGCTGTGTGTGTGTGTGTGTGTGTGATGGTGTGTGTGTGTGTGTGTTTGTGTGTGTATGTGTGTGTGTGTGTGTGTGTGTGTGTGTGTGTATGTGTGTGTGTATGCGTGTGTGTGTGTGTGTGTGTGTGTGTGTGTGTGTGTGTGTGTGTGTGTGTGTGTGTGTGTGTGTGTGTGTGTGTGTATGATGGTACGTGGTGTGTGTATCTGTGTATCTGTGCAGAATATCGACTACCCTACTGCGACATTGACGCAGCTCGCCTCTCATTCCACGGTCACCTGCACCATGTTGATGTACTGGTAGCAGCACCGGGTGTCATGGCATCACGCATCCGCAGTGAATCCAACATCTCCAGAGATATCACGTGAGCTGCCATCCTACTACAACTACATACACACCCAGACCTTGTTTTCACTGGTCGAGGGAATGGATTCAATCAATGGAATTTCCTTTTTTTCTTCTTTTTTACACAAGTTCAATCAGGGACAAGCTTTGAATTTTCCATTGACTCCAATCCAGCCACGTACGCATGTATACCGTACGACCCCACCTTTAAAGCCATGGAGGTTTATTCGATTGCAAAGCCTGTCTCAGTTATAAAGCCGTGGCTTCATAGATGAGATGAGATTTGAAGCATGTAAAATAGCTAGCAAAGCAGCGTTGTTTTGAATATAAGGCCATGGCGTTACAGGCGCAGACATAATTCTCCATGTCCCAAATGGCCTGGTCACTGCGAATAACTGATGGTACATGTGACAGGAATGTAAAGCCGGTGTAGTTGAACAATGGTGGGCGTGTAAATACCTCAAACTTAGTACTTGTGTCAGCTCTGAGAGCACTGGGAGAGAGGAGCTGTCCAGCGCAAGAACAGTAGTTATTACCCAGGCCTCGTGGAGGAAAGGTTAGATGCGGTCCAATACGTTGTGCCGTCCCTGGTCTTGTTTGGACTGTCGTTGCTGCTGCAGCTCGTCAATAACGTACGTACTCAGCGCCGGGTCGGGCTATGTCGACTTCAGGCTGCACGGAGGCCCAGTATCCTCATCGAACAAAGCCCAAGCGGAACGAAACAATATCATCGTCTGGCAGGTGAGGGTAATGTGAAGCGAAGGGCAAGTTCATCGTTTTCACATCTTCGAACTCTTAAAATACCATTGCTGCCTGTTCTTTACACCTAAAATAATGTGACCTCTATCCTGCGCATTCCACCCCGGCTCTCAACTGGGCTAAATAGCGTAGAACCGTATCTGTTTCCCCATTGTACACCATCAGTGCATTACTCTACACCATCAGTACATTACTCTACACCATCAGTGCATTGCTCTACAGAATGGTATACATTGTATTTATTGTCATCTTCATCAAGCTATTATGTGCACTGGACAGAAATCTAAGAACAGGATTTCAGGCACCAAAAAGGTTTTCAAACACCAGGGCCTCGCCGTTTAGCCCGACAGCCAATATGTCTCGGTTTGTCTGTTTGCGTGCGGGTAGGTTTCGGAACCGGCCATTTGAAGTGCATTAGAGCAGGGGAACAAAGAAGTGAGCGGGCTATCGGATCTGTTACCGTCACGGCCAGAGCACTGCCAGCTCAGCCAGCGGATAGTCAAAGTCACCACCATTCATTGGAACATACGTAGCACTCACATATCACACCTGTTCTGCTCCATATTTCCCACCTGTGAATTTAGTGATTGGCCGCTTCATTTTTTACTGATTTGGAATTTTGACACCTAGCCTAGAAACTATTATCTTGAAGCAACGAAATGATTTGATAAATTTTCTATTTCTTCAAAGTCCTGTAATCCCATTCCGGTTCGAGGAAGAGAATTTAGGGTGTCTTGCGTATCACGATTATTACGTCTGGTTTTTGAATTATTTTTATATTTTAGTATTAGTAAGATTCAAGAATTCAAGTCTAGCCTCAATTTTCCTAGGTGATAAAAAGTGATTGTTACTGGTTTGTTCTTAAAAAAATATTATGCTAATATGCTAGTTGCAGTTGCAGTCGGGAATATACAGCTGAGCGCGGGCGTTTTGTGATTTGGTGTGTTACATGGGGTGGTTCTCCACTGGTGGTGTGCTGGGAGAGTGGGGAATTCTGTACTTTTAAAAGAAATGAGCAGACACATAATTATCAGAAACTAAAAACATGGGGTAAAAACTGGTATAATTTCAAATTGAAAACCCTAGAAAATAGTTCCAAGCTATATGGCGTCTCATCAGTTGTTAGCTCTCAAGAGGGTCAAGAAAGCACGATCCTAGCAGTAATTGCTATGTCTCAACTGGCGGCCCATCAGGGCAGTAGGTCCATGGTCAATGTCGATTGTAGTGTCATCATGACTGCGAGAGCAGTGTTAGTTACAAGTTGCACACATCTACAGTGTCATCGTTCCAGAGGTCTCTCTTTGGCGCTGCATTCACTTCATCACCAGTGACCACCGCCGCACATTAAATACCGTGTAGTTTGAGGTACATGTAGTACACACTCGTACTCCCTCGCTCACTCACACACGGTGTGTCTTGCCATGAGCAATACAGCAGCCGGACACCCGGACACACACACACACACACAAACGGTCCATCGGCTATCACGGCAATGCGCACCTGGGAACACAACGCCAGCACCACGTATATGGCACGGAGCTTCCTTTGCTCATGTACACTCCTTGCACGAGAGCATCTCTGTACTCTTCTCACAAGAAGTACCTGTGCGGATGCACACTCCTAGCACGTGGGGACCTTTGTGCATGCACATTCCTCGCACAGGAGCGGCAGCAGCTGTGACGGTGATCACACTGACCACCCATCGGTTTGGTTGGCAGTTTGCAGTATGGTGTGGAGATTAGTCCACAGCGATCACAATGACCACACATTGGGTAGGTTAGCACTTTGCCGTATGGTTTGGAGATCGGTCCACAGGGTTCACACTGACCACCCATCTGTTAGGCTAGCACTTTGCCGCATGGACATTGGTCCGTCCACAGAGATCACACTGACCATACATCAGTTAGGTTAGCACTTTGCCGTATGGACATTGGTCCGCAGTCCAGCGCGGACTCGTTGACGACTATGCCGCCAGTCTCGCGTGCTCCCCAGTTAGACTGGTATTGATGCACTTGCTCTGCTAGCGGCGCTGCTGGACTGCCGGACAGGCCACCACCACCGGTGACCGGCAACGTGGGCACATCACAATTACCGATACTCGGTGGGTTGCTGGAGCTGCGTGAGTTCTTGCGTGACGGCGCCGAAGCCTTGCGAACCGACGTTGGCGCCGAGTTGCTACTCGTCGTTTGAATACTGTAACCGTGGTGGGTGGTGGCGGGACCGTTGCTGGCTAGAGATGCGAGCGAGGACGTTGACGAGGTGAGCGAGTGCTCCAGTATGGGTTCGTGTAGCGACGACGCCGAGCTGCTACGCAAGTGACTGGGAGGCTGGTCGTCGGTCTGCTCAAAGGACTCGATCACCTGGCCGACCTGATGCTCGTACTCGGTGTACGGGCGTATGGAAAAGCTATTGACTAGTGCAACCTGAACGAGACATACGCAGGCAAACAGAGGCTAGTTACAGGAGGACTTCCCTGATCCAGGCACACTGGGACTGGGCACTGCCTGTAACTAGGAATGTGACCTATGCATCAATTCCCCGCCATTAGGCATTAGGTTTTGCGGGGCAAGTCCACTATAACCGTACACACCTTGATACCAACTCTGCATAAAAGGTCATGAACTTTGTGAGGTCATACTCATAAATGTACTATAACGGGTTGTACCTGCCAAGTATGGGGTAACTTGCCCCGCAAAAAGGTGACGGCCATCTTAGATGCATACCTCCCATTGCCCGTGAGTTAGAGGATACATACTCTTGCAAGCAAGTCAACATTTTTCAAGGTCGTTTTGTCGAAAAGCCGATTTTTGTGAATCTAGAACAGTCAGAAATGTACCCGGAAGACGGGAGTGCCCGGATGTGGGGAGTCCGATTAGGAGAGCTTTTTGTACTGGACTGGCAAGGAAAGCAGCATACAATCACTGATCTAATTGAGCAGTAAGGCATGTTCTGCCATTCTGCACGAATCCGTCAGGAGAGGGAGAGAGTGAGAGAGGAAAGAGAGAGAAAGATAGGGAGAGAGAGAGAGAGAGAGAGAGAGAGAGAGAGAGAGAGAGAGAGAGAGAGAGAGAGAGAGAGAGAGAGAGAGAGAGAAAGAGAGAGAGACACACACACACGAAGAAAGGGAGGGAGAGAGAGAGAGAGACACACACACACACGGAGAAAGGGAGAGACACCCACACCCACGGAGACAGAGAGATAAGGAGCGACAACAGTACACACACCACACTATGCACTGTCTCTGAGCTAACCTGTGACAGGAATGCACGCCATGTGTTGTAGTAGCCACGGCACTGCCATGTGTTGTTGTGACCGCCCTGCGGAAAGCGCTGAACATGTTTCGCCGGGGCACCGCAATTCTGCACGAGAAAGATCAACAATATTTCCCAAACAGACATACAAAGTCTCTCAGAGTACAGCTATCATGAGTCCACACAATCTACGGCTATACCAAGGACAGTAAATTACATGGCAGGGTTCTAGCCAGGTCAACATAGTAGGGGGGGGGGGGGGGGGGAGCAGGAAACAGTTACCCCGTAACCCATTTTTCCATTTTCCAAAATTGTCCTGTGATGCGAAGTGCAACGTGCTGGGACTTGTGGAATTGTTCGTTGACGTAATCTTTTCTATGACGCACGCGCTGCGAGTCTTTTGGGAAGTTTCGCCTCGTGCACTTGGCCGGGCTTTACATTATAAGGTCGGTGCCCAGCACGTGCTCCCACACTCCTCTGCGGCAAAAATGCGCCTTTTTTTTTAAAAGGTGACGTCAACAAAAATTTCCGCCGTGGGCCGGGGTATCTGCAGATTGTGCAGAAGAGATGCGGGGTTGCACACTCTTGTTTACGTGTATCTACTCTTGCTTGAACTTATAACACACATTTCGAACAATGCCGACATCCCGTTTGTTTGTATGCATGTACATGTACTTGAAAGCATGACTACACAGTCTTCATACCTGAAATAGCTGTTCCATCATCCACGCAGGCACCAACTGGTCATCGAGTCCCGACAGGAATAACGTTGGCGCACGTATCAGCCGTACTGAATTTACTGAGAAAAACTGCACGCAACAAACACACAGCATAGCACCGGACAAGACAATATTTGTCACCAACCATAGCTTTTCACAAATTCCTGACCACCATTTGAATTATTTTCAAATGCAAATTTCCTGTCAACAATACAAGACACCGGGACAAGGTACAAAAAAAAACATATCAGCTGGCTCACAAAAAAATATTTGCACGTTCCCTACCTGATTTTTAAACGCCCACTCCGGTAATCTGCCAGCCAGCGGGTGAAACAGGACCTTAGCAAGCATTGGAATGCTGGAGAAGCTATTCTCTATTAATACAGCACAGGCTCTGAAGGCAAGACATTCAAGATAAAACAAAACAAGAACATGTACACACATGTCATAAAGTAACTAGTTACACACTGCAGGGTGTCTTTACAACCACAATTATTCAACATTCATCCATAAGTACAGCTGCAGTGGAGCTTGCAAATCAGTGAGTACTAAAAACCACTAGTACTCACTGCTTTAAAAAATTCATCCATGTACTTTCACAAATAAATAGGGCTGGTCAGTGTGACGTCAAAACCCTAAAAGTGCTAAACTGCCAGAAAATTATGACTTTCAGGTCACCGTGGATAGTGAACAACTGATTGTGTAAGGGCAGATATACTATGTTAAGTTGGAAGTGGTTTGTAACACGTATGACAATATCAACCTGAACCAGGCTCAGAGCACAATAATGCACAGACTACAACGGAGACTCCCTCGATTTAGGCTAAGGCCTGTGGAGAATCCATAAATACAAATACAAAACGTCAAAGGTCTCACCTGTCCACATATGCTGGATGTGAGCAGAGCTTAGCTGCCACAGCTCCGCCAAGCGATCGGCCAAACACTATAATTTTCCTAATGTCAATATCGGATCTGCTCAGAAGTACATCCATGCCAGCTTTGGAATCTAAAAATAAACCTACACACACAAAGAACAACACATCAAACACGAGCAAAAGCAATTCAAAGCAACTCTGAGAAACACAAACAATATACCACTGTTCCTAGTACTTCTTTTTAGTACTGCGATGTAATGTGAACGACTTCGTTCTCTAAACTTCTATGATCTAAAGTACAAAGCTGGCTCCCTGCCTGAGTCCCTGGACCATTTCCGACTACATCACTGTACTTGTACATGTGTAAGTCCAGCTGCACTTGCACCACTTCCATGGCGTCAAGGGTCGCGCTAGTGCTAGTCCAGGGCGCCAAATACGCACTTTGGGTCAGATGATGTCACCTACAATAGCACGACTGTACAATGTACATGCAATGTACAATAAATAGCTTCGATGAAAACTGAACACGGTACATGTAGTACAGAGCTTTCTCGTCTTATCGGCTTAAAGGTGACATGGGTCCTCGCGAGTTGGGTATGTGATTCTGTAATTTAAAAAAGCATAAAATAATTTAAAAAATGGGGTGATTAAATAAACCAATGAACTTACCAGCTTCACTGGGTGCACCATCGCTACGCCCAAAGCCGCGATACTCCAGCAAGAGAATGTTGCACTGGCATTCCACATACAGAGCCTGTGCATTGGGCAGGCGGTGGCCAATGTTGCCCGCATTGCCGTGCAGGAAGAGAATGGTGGGCACCGTCTGCAGCATGCCAGGAGCTGCACGGACGAACACGGAGTACAGCAAACAAGAGTGATAATAACGCCGATGGCGTGTGCTTGCACGTACATACGGTCACAGCGTACGTGCACTCATGCCTTGTTAAAGGTCCGGGACCGGGCACTGACCGTAACTTTGAAATGTCCGTAACTCCGAATCACATACATTTTGATGGGGAAAGGCCAGAGATATGGCACTGTGTCCAAAAAAAGTGACAAGAGCAGTAGTACGTGTATGTCCATTGAAACTGGCCCAAAGGGTACCCAGTAGACCGAAGTTCCCATAACTTCGATGTCTGGATAACCGACGTACAAGTGTACAATACGGTACAAGCCCATTGCGTCATTACCTAGTTTGTACGAGGAGCACTCCACACAGTCACTCAGAGTTGGTTGTGTGGAGTGCCGAGCAGTGCATTCCTGATCCCAGCGTACAGTCAACTTCGCTAATAACGACTGCGGATATAACGACAATTCGCGAATAACGACAGAATTTCCATGCCCAGAGCAAAGTCCCATCTAACTGGAATACATACAATGAGACTTCGGGTATAACGACACTTCGCGAATAAGGACACTTTTCTGATGCCCCGCCGAGTGTCGTTATAAGCGAAGTTGACTGTACTCACACACATTACTCATACATTCCATTTGGCAATGCGCAACGGGCTTATTTAATCCGACATCCAATGACAAAAGTACAACACTATTGATGTAGTACGCAAGGCATTGGATTGAACAGAGAACTGGAATATTCGATTCAGCACTTGTCAAGACCTAAACATTACCATTCGGATCGGCACTACACGTAGCTAGAACTAAAGACAACTGATAGAAGACTAGGCTAGGACATACGTTGTTTGATGAAGTAGGCGTGTATCCGCACTCCGTCCTCTGTACGCAAGTATATATTCTCGTAAGGCAACGAGAACGCCATTGGCGTTTGCACAAATAGCCGTGAGCGCTCTGGAGTCTCGGGTAGGTACAGGAACGAGTCCTGGACATTGGAGGCAGAAAATACGCACACACAGTGCCACTCATTAGACATTGCAGTGAAACCTGTCTAAGACGACCGTTCAAGGGGCCTTCAAAACGTGGTCTCCGTCACCAGGCGGTCTCCTTATCCAGGGTCATTTGACTGGAAATAGCATCCCTTGGTCCTGGTTGCAGTGGTCTTCTGGGACAGGTGGTCGCCTTATGTGAGTGACAGGTTTTACTGTACATAGCTTTGCCAGTCACATGTACAGTTAAACCTGCCAAAGCGACCACTCGGATAAGGTGACCACCTGTCCTAGAAGACCACTGAAACCGGGATCAAGGGATGGCATTTCCAGTCAAATAACCCTTGAGAAGGAGACCACCTGGTAACAGAGACTACGTTTCGAATGTCCCTTGAGCGGTCGTCTTAGACACTGTCACAGTATTCACTGTATGTGGATGGGGCTGTTATGGCTGTTATCTGGCATACGTCTTGATCTGTTTCATTCAAAATTAAATCTTGTCCTCTACCGTATAAGAGAAAATCAGGAGGCGTACATTCAGTGCACTGCAGATTTGCATGGTTCTCTTGCGATGGGCGTGCATGGCGTGCGTGTGTGTTTGTGTGCGCGTGCATGTACATGTGAGTGTTTCTGTGTGTGTGTGTGTGTGTGTGCGCGCGCGCGCGTGCACGCGTGTGTGTGCTTGTGTGTGTGCTTGTGTGTGTGTGTGTGTGTGTGTGTGTGTGTGTGTGTGTGTGTGTGTGTGTGTGTGTGTGTGTGTGTGTGTGTGTGTGTGTGTGTGTGTCTCTCTCTCTCTCTCTCTCTCCCCTCTCACCTGATAATGATAAAATGCCCCTAGTAATGCTACGGATAGTAACGTCAGCATGGCAGCACCACCGTACACCCAGTAGAGCAGGAACAACACCAAGCACGCAGCACTGCACGATTTCCAACATCGTGTTAGAATGACTTTCAGCACAGCCTGCGTAGAACGCAGGCGGTATAAACTCTGCCGAATCATGGCCGCGCATCTGTAGCTAGTACTCTGCGTGTTACGACTGCCGGAGATACACGCCAGCGCACAATATTCCTTCATGGACACCTGTGATTTTCCAACATAATTACATATAATTTTCTACATTCTGGATATCTCCATTGTCGGATCAAACTTCGGTCTGGGGGGTACTTTTACTGCCAATATGAAGCCTGATAAGCGCTATTCGTACTACTTATCCCCTACCAAAGGCCTAACACAATCCCATACGTATACTATGCCACTTGGATACAATTGCTACGCTCCAAACTTCCAAAGTCAAAGATTGCTCAATCAAAATCAGATGCAGAGATGTTGATTTTGAGGCTGAGCTGAGGACGTGAGGTCTGTCTGTGAACGACGTGACTCATGACATGACATGATGTCAGTGTGTGGCTGATATGATGCAGGCATGGACATTCAAATCAAAACAAATGTTGGCGCACTATACTGCACTACGAGCACATTCCACGCGCTACAATCACGCCGCGCCGCGCATTGGTCCGTGACTTTTTTTATGCATGAGCTCGTAGAGTGCGTCCGGTTACCAAGTGTCACAGTCTGTACCGCGTACCGGTATGTGTCAGGTGCGCATGTGGAATGCTGATTGCTGTACTGCGTTGTTGACTTCGTTGTTGACTTCTTACGGAGACTTCTTACGGAGTCACACGTGCACACTGCAACTGCTAAGTGCAAACGGCAAAGTCAGTAGTACATGTACCAAGAGTACATGTACGTGGAATGTGTTCGTAGTGCAGTAGTGCGCCTACTCTTGGTAGTACACTCGGACGTCTCTTATCCGGGCACCTTGGGACCGGGCACTGCCCGTATCTCAGATTTGCCCGTATCTCAGAATAACACATCTACCATGTATCATATCATTTTTGAAGAAGTTTATTTGGAACGTATTGCACATGTTCAGGATACAAAAGGAACCCATTGATAAAAATGTGTAGATTACATAGGTTGGCAGCGAAAAATAAGCACTTCCTCATACGAAAAAAAAGTTCAAAACCCCCAAATTCGAAGCATTTGTGCTATAGGAACTCAAGCTGAAGGTGCCCGGTAGAGAGACGTGCCCGTATCTGAGGCGTCCGGATAAGAGGCGTTTGAGTGTACCTTTGCCTTTGGCAGGCTTTGCTTGGTCTAGAGTATACTACACTCTACAGACTACTCTACAGCAGAAGTAGTGTTTGACACTGTCACCGGCAGCATACTGAGAGACTTGCGAGCTTGATGAGTGAATACAATTCAAGTACATGTAGTTGAACATGTAATGTTGGAATGCTGGAATCGAAAACGAATACTATTGGCAATGTTGCAGCAGCTTATCAATCCTGCATGTAATACACGTGTGTACTTTCTGCTTGGCTGGAAGTCTGAAATGAGGTTCAAACACTAGTACTAGTACTGTCTCAAATTATTCCAGGGTGCGACAGAGCGCAGCGTAATGGTGGAGGTGACTCAAGACTGTCTCAAATGCGTAAAAAACCTTCCAAAATAAAAATAACCTGCAACGGCTTGAAACTGACCGAGAATAGCACTACGTAATGCATGCACTGCAATCTGAAGCCGGCCACACAGATATGCACAGAGAGACACAGAACATACAGAGAACACACACACACAAACACATACACACATAACGTTACACACATACACACACAAACACATACACTACTACTACTACTATTGACAGCTGCCAGAATTGGCCACGCCGCTCCCAGATGGGAGGTACTGTCAAAGATGCTAGGGTGGAGGAAGGCAATGCTCCAAGTGGCGGTCCAGATCTTGCCCCCTCCGGAACCGTCGGTTGTGACAAACTTGGCAGTGAAACTTGAATTGCTGGCGTTCAGCCACAGTAGGGCGCTTTGGACAGATTCCACCACGATGACACTTGAGATCCGCAGCCGATTTAAAAGAACGATGACAGATTGTGCAAGTTACATCCGGAACAACAAGAGGAGCAGGGGCCAGTGGCTGGTCGCCATCACCTAGCCAACACTTATGAACCGCAAAGCCTCCCCTGCTACGTAGCCATCGGTTGCATGTTGGACACTGCACTGACCCAGGCTGCTCCGATACCGGGAGCTGACGGATTGTCAAACACTTGTGCCGGGCCATGTCAGAACTACGGCAGAACAGACGGTTGCAGGTTGGGCACTCAATGTTCTTCAGGGCAGGTTCCTTGTCCTCACCTGCTGCTGCCACCACTCGGCACACCGTTGATTATCTGGTAGATTGCAGCATTCTCTCTCGCTCTTGAAGACCAAGTGAGTCAGACACATCAGCAGCACAGCGACTCTCACAGAGCTTATTCGCGGTACGCAAAGGTGACAGTTGTGTGGTGATGGCATGTAGTCGGGTGAACGAACGTAGTATCACCGAGTCATCGGGTCCAGCGGACTGGTAAGTCAGTTTGTGACTGGTGGCATGGCATATCAACAATTCAAGCTTGGTTCACTGTATGACGCATGTCTTGGACTTGAGGCGCTCCTGCCACAAAGGCACAACAAAACAAATCAAAACACACCTGTTAATACACACTGAGACCAAATTGCACATGCCGGCTTGTATCCGCATAGGGTCACGGTTGGAGCCAGTCCAGCTGCCGGGCCTGGTTCGAGTCACACCAATATTCTGACCATTTTTTTTCTCTTTGCACTCCTCAGTCAGCCACATATTTATAGTTGTTATCATGGAAGCTTGGAAAATGCCCTAAAACGGCACAGTTTTGGCTTTGTTTCTTTCAACAGTCTCCTGGGGAGGTCCCAGGACCGCAGAACCCCTCCAATATGCCCTCCGGGCGAAACCAGGCCTATCGAAAATAGCTTTCGGTGCCCATGCAGGGGCGTAGCAGCCGCTCTGGCCGGTCCGGCTCTGGCCGGACCACTTTTTCGCCCGACCACGACCACCATAGTAAAACAATGCCAAAAGTGCCCAGAATGCAGGATTTTGCACCCTAATTTCAAAAACATTCCGCGGGGAGATCCCCCCGGACCCCCCCCCCCCCCCCCTGGCCGGACCACCGCCAACGGCGGTGCTACGCGCCTGCCATGATATGCTGTGCTGAAAGTGATGAACGTTGCCGCTTGCATGGTATTGTACTTATATACTCAGGTGGTCTGGAATAATTCACTCAAATGTAAACTGTCTCTGGAATAACGGTAGTTCTCTGTTGCGCTGTGCTAATGTTGTACAATCATGCAAAGTGTCTCCTGTGAGTCTCAACAGGATTGTGTATGTCATATGCACTGTGTTACTGCAACAGCAAATGAGCGCTAAACTTAACAACTTAGGAAATGCACGGCCCTGATTCCGACCAGTTTAATGTTACCTTCTCTTCTTCCACGAGTTGCTGGTCCTCTTCTAATAGCTACAGTAGGAAGCAAAGACAGGCATTGCAAGTAGGCATCAGTGCACTGCATCTCTGACACACTGCTATACGACCGTTTCAAAACAAAGCATAGTGTTGCAAGCTGTCACCAGCATGGCATTGCAACCTTAGACTCGAGGTGGATAAAAACACGTGTGACTTAACCACATGAGGATAGTATATGATATCATACGCAGGGGCAGATCCAGGAAGGGCTCCAGGGGTTCCGTGGAAGGCGGCGGATCCCCCTAAATTTCGTAAATGTACTACTACTGGCAACTATATGCGCGTCCATGTACATGTAGCAGCAATTCAGTTTTGACTATTCTGGAACCCCCCTGTAGAGATTGCTGGATCCACCGACTCTAGTCACTACAGGACAGCCAATGCCCAAGGCAATGGTCATGTTGTGCCTTCTAACTCGGAGGCTTTACTATAGTAACACCACAACACGACTCTGACAACCCCCCCCCCCCCCCCCCGCCGCCGGCACACTAACACGCCGTACTTTTAACATTTTCTGACTTCACCGGTGCATTGGATACTGTGACACCGTGACACTGTACTGTGGAACTGGTCTGGCCAACAGGAGGTGCAGCGATTCCGCCAGAGCTGCCCCAGCCGGTTTTTGACCGGTTGAAATCATGGCTGGCCGGTTGAAAACTCATTTCCAGTCGCCAGCCGGTTAGCTTTTTTTCCTCGTATTGGCACTGAATACTCAAGTATGTCTCCGCGGTGTGATTCTTTCGAAATAATTCTGCTGTTGCTGAAGGATCAAGGTTTCTGGAGTACAGCAGATTTAGACCAGAGATCAAATACACAACAGAAACTTTGCTGTTTTCCTCCGAAAAAGGAGTTGTCTCTTGTTGTTTGAAAATTCCTTAGGCCAAAATCTACTCTGCACCCAGTGAACTGTCAACTTTTTCATTCATCCATGACCGCGCAGTCTCTTTCGTCATCTCCTAGTCTTTAGTTCAAGATGCCTATGTCCCCTGCAAGCAAAAGGCTTGGTACAGGAACACCTCTAGATCGCTTGACAAGAATCGTTTTTTCGTGATTCTAGAGGGGTCAGAAAAGTTGCCCGGTAGACAGGAGTGCCCGGATCAGGAGGGTTTGTTTACTGGACTGGCAATGAAACTCAGCATATTATCACTAAAACAGTGAGGCACTTCAGCCATTCTGCATGGATCTGTCAAGAGAGGGAGAGAGAGAGAGAGAGAGAGAGAGAGAGAGAGAGAGAGAGAGAGAGAGAGAGAGAGAGAGAGAGAGAGACAGAGAGACAGAGAGAGACAGAGAGAGAGACAGAGGGAGAGATAGAGAGAGACACACACACACACACACGAGAGAGAGAGAGAGAGAGAGAGAGAGAGAGAGAGAGAGAGAGAGAGAGAGAGAGAGAGAGAGAGAGAGAGAGATATAGAGAGAGACAGAGAGGAGAGAGACAGAGAGAGAGAGGCAGAGAAAGACAGAGACAGAGGCAGACGGAGAGACAGACAGAGATAGCGAGAGCAGAGAGAGAGAGAGAGAGAGAGAGAGAGAGAGAGAGAGAGAGAGAGAGAGAGAGAGAGAGAGAGAGAGAGAGAGAGAGAGAGAGAGAGAGAGAGAGAGAGAGAGAGAGAGAGAGAGAGAGAGAGAGAGAGAGAGAGAGAGAGAGAGAGAGAGAGAGAGAGAGAGAGAGAGAGAGAGAGAGAGAGAGAGAGAGAGAGAGAGAGAGAGAGAGAGAGAGAGAGAGAGACAGAGAGACAGAGAGCTACAACAGTGCACACACCACACGATGCACTGTCTCTGAGCTAACCTGTGACAGGAATGCACGCCATGTGTTGTAGTAGCCATGACAGTGATATGTGTCGTTGTGACCCCCCTGCGGAAAGCGCTGGATATGTTTTGCCGGCGCACCACAGTTCTGCATGAGACAGATCAGCATCATTCCCCCACAACGATAGACCAAGACTATCAGGGCACACCTCTCATGTGTGCACACACAATCTACATTTACACCAAGGATAGCACATGTACAGTGTTGCCCAATGAAATCCAGTCCACGGCGTGAGTCAAGTTTGCGCCTTGCACCTTTTCGCAGCCCAGTGTTCGCAGGTCTAGGGCTGTGCAGCGCTCGCCGCGTACTTGAGTGAATCGACTGGATTTCATTGAGGTAGCACTGTACACGCTACTCAGCATGATGCGCATCACTCTACAAGGCTACGGGCGACACAAAGCATGCCTTGTGCAAGTGATGCACCTCTTGAAGGATAGCTTGTAGTAGCTTTACAAGTGCACATAGGATAGTTCTGAAATTGATCATGCCATGAGGTTCAGACCCCCCTCTATACTGCACAGGCAAGTTCACAACGGATAGAACAGCACTGTCCAAGCCCTGTCCTGACTTGTGTTCGGAACTACACTCGAATACCTCTGCTACGGGTGTATTGGAACTGGGCACTGCCCGTATCTCAGATCTGCCCGTAGCTCAGGGCAATACATCTACCATGTATCATATCAGTTTATCAGTTTTTGCTAGGGCTGAAACGATTATACCGAATAATCGAGTACTCGTTTGATAACTCTAACGATCGAGCAATCGTTTAGATTAACGATTACGATTATTTTGCGTTTTTTAAATTTGTGTCCAGAAAGTACTGTAAACCCTCGTTTTGTGAAGTTTGAATCAGTTTCCGCTGGGAGTATGCAGTTGCCAGGGGTATGGTTCATGTTCTGAGGTTAAATTGACTTCGAAACTGCCATGTTACGGAGCTACCCTTTCACTAATGCAGATTTGTTGGTACTATGAAGCCATAGTTTGTGGAAACAGAGTAATATTTGCACAGAATTGCTAACGATTATAATCGATTACTCGATCGTTAAGCTAAAGAGTAATCGATACGTGGAAATCCACGATCGTTTCAGCCCTAGTTTTTGCCAATGAAGTCCATATGGCAAGTATTGTGCACGTACATGATTAAAAAAAACTTCGATGAAAATGTTGATTACACACGTTTGCAGTGAAGAGTCTAAAAAAAATGAGCACGTGCACAAAATCGACCCCCCCCCCCCCCCGAAATCGAAGCACTTTGCCTCAGCAACTCAAGCTTCAGGTTCCCGGTAGAGAGGCGTGCCCGTATCTGAGCTGTCCAGATAAGAGACGACTGAATGTACATCACTTTCATACATCATGACAGTACACAAAGCTGCACTGCACACGTCTACCTCACATCTCCTGTGCATACGCAGAGCTGGTTACATCATGAAGAGGATGTAATCCTGAAAAGGATGCGTGGCAGCAAGTCATGAGGAGTTACACATTCTTGGGAGCTTCATGTACATTGCACCGGTTACGCCCGGGTATGTACTCTTGACATTAACTATCACATACATTTCGAACAGTGCCGACATCCTGTTTGTTTGTTTGCGTACTTGAAAACTGTATTAGAGTCTTCATACCTGAAATAGCTGTTCCATCATCCACGCAGGCACCAACTCATCACGAAGGCCAGACAGGAATAGCGTCGGCGCGCGTATTAACCGTACCGACTTCACCGAGAAGAACTGCACACAACAAACAATGTAGCAACACAAACAGCGCTTATCACTAATCATAGCTTTTTCACTAATTCCGCTGGGAATTTGTGAAAAAGCTATGAATTCAAATGGCGTTCGGAAAATTATTTCCACACACCATTTGAAATATTTTCGAATGCAAATTCCCCGTAAACAATACAATACAGCAGGATACTAAAACCACAAGAAAAAACGGTTTACGGAAATATTTTGCACATTCCCTCCCTACCTGATTTTTATACGCCCACTCCGGTAATCTGCCAGCCAGTGGGTGAAACAGGGCACTGGCAAACATTGGAATGCTAGAGAAGCTATTCTCTATTACTAGAGCACAAGCCCTGAAGGTAACACATTCCAGATAAAAATAAAACAAAGACAAGTTAAACACACATATAAAAAACATTTTTACAGTCAGTCTTTACCATCATATTATTCAATAATAAATCCAGCTACAGTAAAGTCTTCAAACCAGGTAGTGATAAGAACACAACAGTACTGCCTGCTTCAAACTCATATCTCAAGCAAAGCCTTCACCAATCAAGAGGGTGGTCAGTGTGACGTCATAACCCCTAAACAGAGTCCTAAAAAGTGGTTTGTACCCTGTATGGCAATACCAACCTGAACCAGATCCAAAGGACAAAAATGCAAACTCGGACTAAAACGTCAAAGGTCTCACCTGTCCACACACGCTGGATGTGAGCAGAGCTTAGCTGCCACAGCTCCGCCAAGCGATCGGCCAAACACTATAATTTTCCTAATGTCAATATCAGATCTGCTCAGAAGTGCATCCATGCCAGCTTTGGAATCTAAAAATAGACCTACACACGCCAAGAACAACACATCAAACATGAGCAAAAGCAATTGAAAGTAATTCCCACAAGCACGAATAAGATACCACTGTCAAGGTGATGATTTGATTGGGGAGATATGGTACGGAAACAAGTGACCAGTCACGATGCGGGGTAAGATGTCACCTAGCATGACACTACATATACTGTACAAGGAATACTGTAAACTGCCTAATGTTTACGACGTATTAATGTTTTCTAATTTTGCGAGAAGAGCATAACGCAAATATTAAAGGGGAAGTTAAGGCAAAAATCAAAATTTCACCAGTTGTAGTCTTCGGGGTGCTGAGTCGAATGGTCTTGGTCCGAGAAAGCTAAGACGCTCCCTTCCTACTTGAATCCCAATCGAACTCGCGCACTTCCACCGAAACTGGGTGACTGCGCCCTACGAGATGGGGATTTGTATGCAAAATGTCACTAAAAGCGCCATTTCGTTCTTATAAAAGCACGGATGACCGCGATTGGCCCATATGTTGTAGTCTTTTGGACGCTGAGTCGACTGGTTTTGGTCCGAAAAGGCTGCAATGCAGCGTTCGCCCCTAATTCCCAATCGAACATGGTTGAACAAGCGGTCACGTGCTCCTGCGTACACCAGTCACCTGGTCACCGTGCCTGCAGGGTACAACTTACAGCCTGTTTTGACCTTTTTTGGGTGCAGTCCTGTCACTCGAGTTGAACCTTAGTGTGAAAGTTGTCGCCTGCTGGCGTGGTGACCAGGTGATTTTGGCACCCAGGAGCACGTGACCGCTTCTTCAACCATGTTCGATTGGGAATAAAGGAGGAACGCTGCATCGCAGCCTTTTCGGACCAAAACCAGTCAACTTAGCGTCCAAAAGACTACAACATATGGGCCAATCGCGGTCATCCGTGCTTTTATAAGAACGAAATGGCGCTTTTAGTGACATTTTGCATACAAATCCCCATCTCATAGGGCGCAGTCACCCAGTTTCGGTGGAAGTGCGCGAGTTCGATTGGGATTCAAGTAGGAAGGGAGCGTCTCAGCTTTCTCGGACCAAGACCATTCGACTCAGCACCCCGAAGACTACAACTGGTGAAATTTTGATTTTTGCCTTAACTTCCCCTTTAACCACCAAGAAATCAAACTTCAACAGTGCAGTGGATGTATATGTGTGGCCACAGTGCTCCGCGAACATTCGCCAAAGTAAACTCACTGGTTCTGAGAGATCGCAAAAAAATTAGTGACGCAAACATTGGGCGGTTTACAGTAGCTTCAACGAAACAGTGCCTTGTTGTCTTCTCGGCTGGTATGGGGCATGCGTCCTTGTGAGTTGGGTGTGTGATTCTTGAAAATAAATGGGGTGATGAAATAAACCAATGAACTTACCAGCCTCACTGGGTGCACCATCGCTACGCCCAAAGCCGCGATACTCCAGTAAGAGAATGTTGCACTGGCATTCTTCATACAGAGCCTGTGCATTGGGCAAGCGGTAGCCAATGTTGCCCGCATTACCGTGCAGGAAGAGAATGGTGGGCACAGTTTGCAGCATGCCAGGAGCTGCACGGACGAACACGGAGCACAGAAAACAAGACCGATGTCCTGATAGCGTGTGCTTGCCGATACCGTATTTCCCCGGTTATAAGTTGCACCCCACTTTCAGATTTGAGCCATATTGTTTCAATATATTCATAAAGTAGGAAGTCATACTCGATTGTAAGTCACATCCCCTTCTTTGCCGGAGAAGTTTAGTGTGAAAAGGTGTGACTCATATTCGGGAAATACGTTTTATATGGTCACAATGCACGTATTGACTCGGATGGAGAACCAAGGATTAATTTATTGCGAAGAAAAGGACCAAGGAAGTACTAGCTACACTCAGTAGAATGTCCACTGACACCATCAGTTACTTGACAGTCAGCACTGACACCATCAGTTACTTGACGGTCAGCTCATGCGATAACATTGCACGACACTGACCAACGGTATTGGCGTTCTACAACTAACTGCCAATCAGCTCTAGCACGTCTTGGGTGTGCACTCCAACAGCCTTCCAACTTGGAAGGTTCTAAGTTATAGAAATAACATCGGAGGGGAAGGTGAGCGCAACCCGGCAAGACAAGCACAAGCTGAAAGTCTTAGCTGTGAAGAATGTTGGCGGATGTACACGCATGTGGATGACAGTACTGGCAAGACCATTAGACGATACGGTCAAACCACGGTACAAGGACTCAAAGGAACATGCCACCCAACTTGTGTGGCTCTAAAGATTCTAAAGCAAATGTACGCATTATTATGGTATAAGCCCCTTGCACAATTACATAGCTTGTACCAACAACACTCCACACAGCCACTCAGAGGTGATTGTGTGGAGTGCTGAGCAGTGCATTCCTGATCCCAGCGTACTCACACGCTTTACTCATACATTCCATATTTGGCAACATGCACTGCCACTGATTCAGCACTTCAAAAGTGAATAAATAGTTTGCATCCTGCACCAGCCCACAGCCCAGTGTTGACAGGGCTAGGGCTGCACAGCGCTGCCAGGCGCTTACTTGACTCACGCGACCGGATATTCCGGAGCAGCACTGTAAAAACACGCTAGGACATACGTTGTTTGATAAAGTAGGCGTGTATCCGCACTCCGTCCTCTGTACGCAAGTAGATATCCTCGTAAGGCAACGAGAGCTCCATTGGGGTTGCCACAAATTGCCGCGAACCGTCTGGTGTCTCGGGTAGGTACAGGTATGAGTCCTGGACATTGGAGGCAGAAAATACACAAACAGCAACACTCACTGGATACTTTATAGGATTGGGAGAACTTCAAAATTCAAAGGATCAGTCGGGGAAGTGAACTGCCTGAAAAGAGAAAAAATAGCACACCCACCAGGACTTGAGCCTGGGACCTTGCTTGTCATGAGCTCTTCACTCCTATGGAGTGAAAAACTTGCCAGCGCCTTCTAGGTTCGGCCTGGTCCCATAGCTCAGATGGTTAGAGCATTGCTCATGACAAGCAAGGTCTCGGGTTTGAGTCCTGGTGGGTATGGCATTTTTTCTCTTTTCAGGAAGTTCACTCCCCCGACTGATCCGCTTTGAACTCATCAGATATCGTGTTTTTGATTCCGCAAATTCCAGTTGTACTTCTCACTTATCCTGTTTGAATTTCGATGTTGGGGCGCCCCACATACTGTGTGTGTGGGCACGTTGAGTTCAACGAGGGCTGAGTCCACACTAGCCTTTGTAAAAGCATAGCAAGTGTGAATTCAGCATGTGGAGGACAACGTCATAGCACGTGTACATGGAGAGCACAGCTGGCCAAAAGCTAATGGCCTAGTGTGTGCAGGGGCGTCGGACACGGTACGGTCACTACGGTATTGACCGTACCACTTTTTGCCCTAGGTACCCAGCGAATCAATAAAATACACTGGTCTGGACTCTAAATTTCCAAAATTTTCGGCTCGGCCACCCCTCCCCCAAGAGTAACTTGCACTTTAGATGGCTGACCGTACCACACTAAAATACCTTCCGACGTCCCTGGTGTGTGTGTGTGTGTGTGTGTGTGTGTGCGCGCGTGCGTGTGCGCGTGTGTGTGTGTGTGTGTGTGTCTCTCTCTCTTTCTCTCACCTGATAATGATAGAACGCTCCTAGTAACACTATGGATAGTAAGCAAGTAACGGTCAGCATGGCAGCACCACCATATACCAGATATACCCAGTAGAGCAGGAACAACACCAAGCACGCAGCACTGCACGATTTCCAACATCGCGTTAGAATGACTTTCAGCACAGCCTGCGTAGAACGCAGGCGTAATAATAAACTCTGCCGAATCATGGTGCCAGTACTCTGCGTCTTATGACTGCCGGAGATACACGCCAGCGCACAATATTCCTTCACATGGACATGGTCACCTGTGATTTTCCAACATAATTATGCTTTCTACATTCTGAATATCTCCATTGTCGGATCAAACTTCGGTCCGGGGGATGATTTTACTGCCAATATGAAGCCTGGTAAGCGCTATTCATACTACGACGTAGAGTCTACCCACTGCTCCCTAGCAAATTCCTGGCATCCGTTGCGAGGGAGACTATGGGAGTATGGTCGTTGTTACTACACGGTGCCAAGGCGACACGCGATCCACACTTCGCAGTCGTCTCTACAAAACAGTACGAAATCCGCAACAGACAACCTGTTACCTGCTGCTATTTTTTATGTTCCATTCTTTAGCTAGCTGGCAGGTTGTCAAAAACATGAGCGCAACCTCGCTATGAATGTCAGAATGCGAAGGCATACCTGGACTCACTTTGTGTAGGTGGAAAACCTCAAAGACTGTTTCGTGATGCTAAGATGCTACAGAGAACTTGAAATTGAAGACCCGCGGCCCGTCATGCATTATTAGTTGGACAAGCGTTTGGGACGTGTCAGGCAGAACAATCGCAAACGTGTATGTTGCCTCCGAGAGGATTGCAGTACACTTCGGTCACCAACTGACCCAACAGGCACCATCGTCTGCAAACAAACCACACTGAGAAAAGCCGAACCTGGACACACCAATCACACTGGCAGAGACGACGGCGGCAGAGACATCTCTCAAATGCCAGTGTGCAGCAGGCCCAGGCGGTATCCCCATATCCCTGCGGAACTACTATACTATTGTACTGAACTAGTCTAAAGAAGTATGGTGGCGGTGGTGACCAGGTACGCCAGGAAATCACGTCCGGTGGATACTCAACTAGTGCTTTGAGGAGGGGGGGGGGGGGGGATCTGGACCTAGAATGCGATACCCTCGTACCCTTACCCAAGCCAAGGAAACCATAGCCTAGGGGGCTCTTACCAGCATTCGCCCAATCATCCTAACAGAATCCTCAAATGCCTGTCAATGTCAACTTGAATGCTTGTCAATTATCACCCTGCGTAGAGTAATGCCCGCCCAGGGTTGACAGCTTCCTGTCTCCATCTTCTATGATTCTCCCTAAGTCTGGTACATACTTCACTCAATCCCCTCTATTTTGTCTCAGTGTTGCCTGGAATAAGATGCCCGAAGAAATCCGCTGTCTGACATCCGCTAGCCGATTTACTGTTGCTATGCGTAGACACTATCTGCACCACAAGTATTCTGTGCAAGGTATACCGAAATTTCGCAAGTAGCTTCTACTGTTCCTGTTTGTATTATTCTTATTTTTCACCTTATAATGTCCCTTCTTCCCTCTCTCATGACAGCCACCTTTACTTCTTTCCCCGGGAGAATCCCTTTGATAGGCATCCATTTGCCTCTGGAGAATCCTTGAAAATATAATATCAATACTGGTATCAATAATATATCCATCACAGAGTGCATCAAGGCCGAAACGTAGCCACGGCTGACAATCACATCGTACGGACTTGCCGATGGATTACATCAAAGGCCCAACGATTTAGACGGTGATGCTCGATTCTGGGAGTGGACTTGTCAAAAGCATAATGACACTGTAAGAAGAGCCAAGCTACTCGAGGTGATGACTAGAGTCATTGATCGTGATGAAGCAAGGATGATCATAGTGCTCCTTAGCAACACAAAACTGAAAGTTCGGCTTGGCAAGGGATCATCAGTACATCCACGGGTATCTCTCAGGCCCAGGGTGACAGTTTGTCACCGGTACTATTTACCTGTTACCTTGAGGCCACGATACGGTACCTACTCGTACGTGAGCATATTCTATTTGACAAGCGAGACATACTGACAGTTGACCTACATGTATCTGTCCCACCGGAAACAATGTAATTATATGGTCAATGTAAACTTTATATCAACCAGCAAAGTAGTGCATCTTGAACAGGTGACAGCGACAACAGATGGCTCGTGTATGGTACTGACTACTGGTAATACACCGCCAAGTGGAATGGAATGTACAGTAACACTTGATATCATCACGTGACTGCAGCACAAGATTTCAGCTGGGACAAGAGACGAGTGTATGTGTGTGTGTATGGGGAAGGGTGGGGTGATCACTTAAAAAAAATGCAAAGGAAAACTAAAAGAAGAAAAAGCTGAAGAGCAGCAGATTTTATCTCAAGATTCCTCTTTCAGTCATAAAACATTTTCGTAGCTATAATTATTATGTTGTTCAAGTGTGCTGCCGGTCAGGTTAGTTAGTTGGGATCAGCTTCCCTGGCATTGGGATCCGCAAGCCATCCCACTGCGGGCAGTTGGCAAAGGTGAGATTAGGGGTTCTCAGTGCTTGCCGTTGATTTTCTGGTGTTGCAGCATTCTCTCGATGATCTTGAAGATACGGCAACTCAGATGCATCAGGAGCACAGTGAATCTCACATAACTTAGTGCACGCAAATTTTAAAGTCCAATAGTGTGGTGATGGCATGTAGTCTAGTGACCATCTGTAGTATCACCGAGAGTATCGAGTCTAGCGAACTGGTAAGTCGGTTTGTGACTAGTGGCATGGCATATCAACAAAGCTGGGTTCATTGTATGACGCATGTCTTGGACTTGAGGCGCTCCTGCCACAAAGGCCACAACAAAACAAATCAAAACACACTACTTAAAAGAAATGCACGCAGACACAATTACACATGTCAGGTTGTATCTGTATGGGGCAGCGGAGCGAACCCAGCTGGACCGGCTTGAGCCAGACCAATATTCTGACCGATTCTTCTTTTCGCACTTCACCTTCTTTTCTCCTATTTTCTTTCACATATACTGCATTTCGCACTCTTCCACGAATATATCGTTGTTTATTGCTAGATTTCAGTATTGAGACGTATTTTCCCTGATGAATGTCTCTAGAAAACGTGTTCGGAAACTTTATTATCCATCTTCTATTTTTTTGTTTATTACTACGTCCAATGTCCGCTTCGCTGACTCTGCTTTTTGCCTTATTCAAGTTATTGTCTCCGCGCCGCTTATTCGATTCTTCTTTGTGCTCCTCAGTCACTCACATAATACTTCGAAGTATAAAGACTATAAGTATTATAGTTTTCGTCATGCAAGGGTGGCAGATGCCCTCAAACGGCACAATTTTGGCTTGGTTTCTTTCAACAATCTCCCGCGGTAAGTCCCCTCGATCCCCTTAATGCGTCCTTAGAGCGAAGCCGGACCTATCAAAAATAGCTTCCGATGCCCATTATCTACGGTTTGATATACTCAGGTGGTCTGGAATGATTCACTCGAATGTAAACTGTCTCTGGGAACACCGGTGGGGAATTCGGGGTGCAAGAAATCCGTATGCCAGCACAACCAGTTTATTAAACATGTTACCTTCTCTTCTTCCACGAGTCGCTGGTCCTCTTCCAATTGCTGAAGTAGGAAGCAAAGGCAGACATTGCAGGTAGGCATCAGTGCACTGCATCTCTGACACACTGCTATAAGATAGCTTTAAAACCGAGCATGAAGTTAGTTGTAAGCTCTCACCAGCCATTACAAAGTTAGGCTCTACCGTAAAAGCCCGTGTATAGGCCCCGGGCGTGTAGGATAGCAGTCTCGATTTCCTGGGCGTGTACAAGGGCACGGGCGTTATTTTGGAACCGGGCATATACTTGGAATAGGGATAGCAGTAAGTATTGGGTATCCGTACCTGTACATGTACTGGTGTTTCCGGCATACCTGGGCGTATACATGGGCACGGGCACTATTTCGAAACAAAAGTGTTGACTTCCCTTGACTGGGCGTGTACACGGAGGGTGGGCGTAATTTCGAGTGGGCGTATTCAGGGGCTTTTACGGTATACTAAAATCTTCGAAGTTCTAACTCATGATCAGAGGCTCCATCACAGTAACACGTTAACACCAATTTGACAACCCCCCGGTGCATTAGACCGCCATACTTTGCTGACTTCACTGATCCAGTGGATATACACGGCGCTGTACTGTGGAACTGGACTGGCCAACAGGCGGCAGTCAACTAACCCGTGCATGGGAACACCGTAGTTGGATAACGTTTCGTATTAGATCCTGCCTATATTCATCCATGATTGCTAACGAAACATGATCCGGGTTGCCTGGCTGCAACTGGTCATGTATGCAGAGTCTGGAATTACTGCCACAGTACGCCCTTACTTGACGACTGAACTTGCACTATCCCCTTCTACACGGACTATGACACGACGGGCTCTTTTGCCTGAAGGTCAGTCTGATTCAAGCCGCTGATTCCTCCGCAGTGGAAAAGTGATAAAGGGGGAACTAAACAGAATCACTCAAAGCGTTGCGCAAGCAGTGATATGCAAGTGCCAACTGGTAACTGATGGGCAAGGCAGGTGAACTTGCAGCCAAAAGTGAACTTTAAACATCCTTACCGCTTTCTGTTCGGCTACCTCTGTTCTTCCGCGTGCAAGCTCCTCCCTTTCCTCTTTGATATCCTGTGGCAGAACAAGAGATCCAAGCGGGGAAAATGCGTTCTATTTAAAAAATTTAAAGCAGTGGCTTGTCATCACAACTACAGAGATCAGACTAATGATATTGAGAGATTTCATTTCAGAAATCAGCAGGATTCAATTTGAAAGGTGTCTTGAAAATCGGAAAGAAGGATTCATTACCGAGTGTACAAAGGATATTATTATATCATTGATTTCTGCGCTCTTTTTTTTCTACATAAGATCCGCTGATCTTGGATATAATTGAGTTGTGCAAACACACTACAGTCATCATAGCCCGCACACAGCACTCACCGTTAGCTTCTGCTTGATGTCGGCAAGCTGTTGCGTTATTTCCGTTTGCTTATCCTCCATGGACTGTACAATTTGGTGAGAACATGCACAGCAGAAGCAGCAGCAGCAACAGCAGTGCCAGCAATTGAACAGGAAATGTTATCAACACTGAATGGAGCAATCCGGCTGATATGAACATTATCCGTTTGGCAAGACCTTGGAAGTTTTTGAAACCTGCAGGGCATTATTCAACCCAAAAAAAGTCAGGCCTATGAGGCCGCATAGTAGAATACTACCTTGATGAGGTCATCGAGTTCTTGCTTCTTCTTGTCAATATCGGCTACAAGGCTTTGCTGCTGACTTTCCAAGTCCTAATGCACACACAGAAAAGATTCGAAAATGGGTCTTAGTTAAATTTTTATCACCAAGACTAGAGTTATAGAGCTTTTTCAAGGACACCTTTCCCGCCACCGCCCTGGCGATCACCCCGAGATTGTGGTGAACAGGTCGCATGTCAAAACGCATTGAAAAGTATACGAAATGTGACAGGTTCGTCTCCACCAGCGCTTGGAGCGATTCTGAAGCTTGTTCTTTTTCGCCCAAGCCATGGAAGGGCTTCCTAGCAACTGCTCTGACTCAACACGAGTGTCGGACATCAAGTGGAACGCCATTCTACTGCTTCTTTCACCTGCACACATCCATTCCCATACAAAGTGAACGTGAACTGGGCTTCGCCTGTTCACCAACGATTCAAAAATATTCTCGCACATGACCCCAAAATGTGACCGTTGGTACAACCTTGAAAAAGCTCTATTAGCAAATTCCAGTTTAGCGATCGGTGCGTTATGGCGGGTGTGTTTCTCGTTCAGTATTATATTGTGCTGTGTAACACACGTAGGGTGGTGCTTCACTGACCTGCACCTCCTCGTGAGCTGTGAGCTTAGTCTGCTCAAGTTCATCACTCATCCGCTTCAACTCCTATGCACACAAACATGTACATGGGAAGAAGGGAGGGGAAGAGAACGAGGGACAGGGGGGGGGGGGGGGGGGGGGGGGAGAGAGAGAGAGAGAGAGAAATCATGGTTAACACCTTGCTACACAATCACATGCATTAAGTGCCTGGAAGTCTCCATTGAAACCCGTTCAGACTATCTTACTTTAGGTTACAGTCTGAATATTGCTATCACATGCTGAAGCTATTCAGGCGATGTCATCCCACTTCCTAATCTCATGTGAACCCATTCAGGTGATACCGAGATACAGCACACACCTTCCTTCACAAGTCAGCACGCATGGGCTATTCAATGAAATCCGATCACGCGAGGTAACTAGTAGCATCATGGGCCATGCCCGCACAGACCTGTGAATACTGGGGTGTGCACATGTGCAGGGCACTAGTGTAAAAAATGTATTTACGGGAGCTAACACTAGCTCATTCATGAGATTGGATGTCACTGAGCATGACGGCATTTGAAGTACGTGGCATAGTTAGCGTTTCCTCACAGTCATATCTCTGTCGAGACGCTCCGATGTTTCTTTCAGGTCCTTCTCCTGCGAGTTGAGCAAGTCCTCTCGTTCATTCAGTTCCTGCCAGGGCACACACATACACACATACATGAGAGGGAGGAGAGACAGACAGCCAGAGAGCGACATAGAGAGACAGACAGCCAGAGAGCGACATAGAGAGACAGAGAAGGGGGGGGGGGGGAGAGCAACATTGACTTCGACCAGGCTATTAGTCCTGTGTGCGACACGCATTACTGCATGTTGTATGCTGTGTCCGATCCACCATGCACGGTACCTATGTCATATGATTACTTTGCACATGCTGGCAAGCGTGTACCCTCATACCACAGTGAAAACGGATCATTTCTACATGAATAGACCATCCACTTACAACTTCTTTTACTGACACTTCTTCCTGAGCAACTACAAGCTCCTGAAAGAATAGACATAAACACACACACACACACACACACACACACACACACACACACACACACACACACACACACACACACACACCGCCACATATAGATAAAGCGATGGAACATTCCAAATATGCAAGGCGAGCTGTACAGATACTTCGTAAATCGGTGCAATTTTCTGTTCCACTCAGTGTAAATGGGTCCTACAGCATCCCCAGAGATGATAATAATTAACCCGACTGCTGCATGGACGATAAGTGCTGCGAATAGTGATCATGCGCCCTGGCCTGAGTAGCTCGCTTGGCTAATTGAAAGTCTGCCGACCTGGGCCACATTATGTTGCTAAGGCATGCACAACCCCAGTCACAGCGCGCAAGTTGGTTGAGTTTGGCCGTCAGGAGGCCAGCGCAAGGTATCCGGGGCGCGGGTCTGATTCCAGCGAGGGGCAATGTGGTACCCCGCAGCGCAAGGGTAGCGTGATACCCTAAGCCAGCGTGCGCGCTGCATGAGTAGCGTGATACTCGCTGAGCGCTTTTGCTGTTGCCTAGCAACGCATTTCTGTCTTTCCTGGGCCCCCAACGCATGTTGGGTGGCCCTGCGCATGACTGCACGTTGTCATAGCAACCTTGGAAACCTCAAGCCGGTTACCAACAAGCTAGGAATCAGACCAAGCCGCCGAATGCCCCCAAATTCCGCGTTGGTCAGCCGAATGACCTTAGTGTGGTATTCAAGCGCTTCAGCTACATGTACGTAGTTCAAATGCGTGCCCTTCGCATGTTTGTTTTCCCTTAGTGACACCGAGAAGGGTTTGAATCGCATGTAGTCGGAGCGTGCGTGCACACATGGGGTGTCCCACACCGCCATGGCATGGGGTGTCCCACACCGCCATGGTCTGGGGTGTCCCACACCGCCATAGCATGGGGTGTCCCACACCGCTAGGTGGGAGCTATAGCACAGCAACAGAGTGGTGCAGATAACTTATCATAAGTATCAGAGGCGTGCGTGCACCGTCAGTGCTAGAACGTGAGTGCATACGTCCGCGAATGGGCGTACCAGCGTGTGCGCAGCGTGTGTACCTGCATGCATGCTCGTGCGGTGTCAGACTGTGGGTGCGTGTACGCGTGCATGCATGTGTGTGTGCATGCGTGGGTGTGTGTGCGTGCGGGTGTATGTGTCTGCGGGTGCGTGTATGTGGGTGTGGCTGTGCGCGCTTGCGCGCCTGCGGACGGCGAACAGTTACTTTCCACAGCGTACATAGTTCTTGTAGCAGGCACTTCGCCATCTGCCGAGTTTCATGATCTCGGATTCGGTGAAGCCGCTCATTGCTCCTGTGGTTGCGGCTCCGGCTCTGAGGCCGTGCAGTGAATACTGGATAGGTGGGTACCCTGCGCTGCTCAGGAGCTGACGGATTAGACGGGTGAGTCTTTGTGCAGGTCACAGCGCGCAAGGTATGTGTATGCGGGTGCGTGTATGTGGGTGTGGCTGTGCGCGCTTGCGCCAGCGCAAGGTATCCGGGGCGCGGGTCTGATTCCAGCGATGGGCAATGTGGTACCCCACAGCACAAGGGTAGCATGATGCATGTTGGGTGGCCCTGCGCATGACTGCACGTTGTCATAGCAACCTTGGAAAACTCAAGCCGGTTACCAACAAGCTAGGAATCAGACCAAGCCGCCGAATGCCCCAAATTCCGCGTTGGTCAGCTGAATGACCTTAGTATGGTATTCAAGCGCTTCAACTACATGCATGTAGTTCGAATGCATGCCATTCGTATGTTTGTATTCCCTTAGTGACACTGATACGGGTTTGAATCGCATGCAGTCGCAAAAGCTATGGGTGGCATGGTGCCATAGGTGAGAGCAATAGCACCGCAACTAAGTGGAGCAGATAGCTTCTCATAAGTATCAGAAGCGTGCGTGCACACATGGGGTGTCCCGCACCGCCATGGCATGGGGTGTCCCACACCGCAATGGCATGGGGTGTCCCACACCGCCATGGCATGGGGTGTCCCACACCGCCATGGCATGGGGTGTCCCACACCGCCATGGTCTGGGGTGTCCCACACCGCCATGGCATGGGGTGTCCCACACCGCCATGGCATGGGGTGTCCCACACCGCCAGTCAGTGCTAGAACGTGAGTGCGTGCGTCCGCGAGTGGGCGTACCAGCGGGTGCGCAGCGTGTGTGCATGCGTGCATGCTTGCACGGTGTCAGAGTGCGGGTGCGCGTACGCGTGCGTGTGTGCATGCATGTGGGTGTGCGCGTGCGTGCGTGTGTATGTGTATGCGGGTGCGTGGATGTGGCCGTGCGCGCTTGCGCGCCTGCGGACGGTGAACAGTTACTTTCCACAGCGGACATAGTGCTTGTAACAGGCACTTCGCCGTTCTGCCGAGTTTCATGATCTCGGATTCGGTGAAGCCGCTCAATGCTCCTGTGGTTGCGGGTCCGGCTCTGAGGCCGTGCAGTGGAAATTGCCACAGCTTTCGATGACCAGTGGTCTATTGGGCAGGTTGGCGCGTCTGGAGAGATAGGTGTGCATGGCTCTGACCGGGCAAACCGTTGAGTTGGTGGTTGTGAGCCGGACGGAGTGACCCTGGCCGAGTTGGTCGGTCTTGGACTTCTTGATTGTGACCTGTATGGCCTGCGGCGTGATGGAGAGGTCATTTGTTCGGAGGCCCCGTCTGACATGGTTGTGGCGGTTGTGGAAGTATATTCGCTTGCCCGGAGACAGGCGAAGAAGCCCAGGCGAATAGCTGCCCATGCCATGGCTCGGTCGGTAGCGTTGAGATTAGACCTAATCAGGGCGTTGCGCATAGCTGCCATGTGGGGCCGGAGGATTGGCTTGCTGGCGTTCTTAGTTCGGTTGGCCTGTGCACGTGCCACTCCTTTAACTGCGAGGTCCACTCTTCGCGAAGAGAGATCTTTGCCGTTTTCTTTGGCAATTGCCCGGATCGCCGACACGTACAAGCGGACGGTTGACGCGGCATGTTGACGTGCCAGGTAGGCTACAAATGCCAGCATGATGGTGTCTGTAATCACCTTGGTGCCGACTAGTTTGCAGAATTGGTGCAGTCGTTTCCAGGCTGTCGCGCATGTGGCGCTCAGGCACCATAACATCAACAGAGACTCGACCAGCCCGCTGTGCTGCTGTTGCTGCTGCTACTGTTGGGAGTGTTGGCTGTGCACGTGGAGGTACCACTGGTTGCAGACCCATCGATGTGGTCAAGTGGCTGTGCGCATCCAATATGTAAAGCCACACGGCGACGCTCACCGCCATACTTGCGCTCTAGCAACTTCTTAGCCACGTCATAGGCTGATGGTGAGTAGCCAAATCGCTCGATGGCTGTCAGTGCTTCTCCTGCCAAATACTGGCTCAATTGCAACAGCTTGTACTGAGGGGTGGCGGGTGCACTATCTACACATGCCATGAAAGCTTCTCGGAATGGCTCAAACGTACGTTTGTCACCGCTGAATATCGGTATGCCAACTCGTTGTAGCTGCTTCCATGGCTCTGCACGAGCCTGGTTTTGTTGCATTTGAGGTAGCCCTGTTGCATACATTTGATTTCCAATATTTGATGGTGTTGCATAACCCTTGGCTGTTACATGTACCCGGAAGACATCTGTGGTTGGTCGGTATGCCCATATACATTAGTACCTGTAGAAGCCATTTACAATGTGCTCATAGGCGGTGCCTGCCACTGGATACATGACTGGGGCGCTGCCATTGACACTGGAGGCTTTCTGAAAGAGTGTGGATTAGCCTGTGTACCAACACTGTACTTAGTATTCACTGCAGTATTCACACTATGCGTACTGGTTGAGTATACAGAATTGCTTGGAAGAACATTGCTGCTGCCAGTACTGCCCAAGGGTAATGTAGGACCAGTAACCTTAGAACTACTACGAGATGTACTGCCTGAGGTGGTTGTGTTTGCAGTAGCAGGCCTAGCAAGAACACTAACACCATCATTGACACTTACTTGTAGTGGCACTTGTCATGGTCACTGTTGCGGAACCATCTGTATACTGGCCAATGTTGGACTGGACAGCGCTGCGCTGGTGACCTCTGTAGTCTGGGATGGTACCACCAGTACCATGTGTACCAGTAGCTGTTGAAATAATTGAATGCCCTGTTACTGCTGTGCGGTCATCCGTGTCAAAACGTAGTTGTTGGTCAGTTGCATTTGTTGCATCTCCGCTGGCGGACCTGTTCACGTCTCGTTGTTGTAGCGATCTGGCCAGCAACCCCGGCTGTGATTCAAACCCAAGCCGTGGTCCTGCGGACGGTTCATTGCTGTAAACATGTCCTGGCCACCAGCCGCCGACTTCCCTGGCTTCATCGCGGCACTGTTGATGCGAATTACCGGTATGCTGCTGCGTTTCAGCTGAGGCGACTGGCACGCGGTGAGTTGTTCGTACAATTTCAAACGCCAAGTCCGTCGCTTCGTCAAATTGCCTCTGGAGTACTTACTTCCAGCTCACTAATCATCTTATCCTTCTCTCTCGCATTGCTGAGCAGCTCTCTGCTTCGTATAAACCAGCTAGATCTGTGATCGTCCCTTCCGCTCTCTCATTATGATCTTTCGAGCTCGTTCATTTCTTTTTCGACATCGAAATAGCTCTCATCGTCGTCCGTGCATCGCATCTGCACTCACTGGGCTTTTACTATCAGCCCTCGTCTTGTCCTGCGTTTTCCTGGCTCGGAGCGCAGAAAAAAGAAATTGCAAAACAGTTGGATGCACGCAGCAGCACAGCTAGCAAGAGAAAGAGCCGTGGATGGGTTTGTTCCTGTTTTTGATGGCTGTGGCCATCCGTTGGCCCAGCGGTCTCGTGTGAGTACGGTGTTTGTTCGTGCTGCCAGCTCGCGCCCGGCATTTGTTTGCGCTGGCAGCTCGGGCCCGGTGCGCGAGTGAAACCGAACCGTGACAAAGGCTTTCGCTCTTTAGTGCTATTGACTGGCTTTTCATACGATGCCTATTGATGTCTAGAGACATGCTGTCTAGCCTTCCCCTAGTACGCATTCACGGGGCTTTGTTGAAGTTCGTGCCGTGAACTGCCAAAGGGAACTGTTTGAATGGTGCTGGGGCGAGTGCGACATTACGGCGTCCCTGCAGCCGGCCTAATCGCGTTTGTCGCCACAACCGATTTTATGATGGACAATTATTGTCTTCGTTTGCTTTCTGTATGTATGTATAGGTGTCCTGCTGTGACACAGTGGTGAGGATTTACAGCCTGCATACAGCGTACCCTCGCTTATGCACACTTCTGAGTTATCCATGCTTTTTTGTTATCCGCACTTCACAGCCCCTGCGACATTCGCTGCACTGGATGTCTGTTGAGGAGTGTTGGAGCCAAATATGGATCTTGTGTATCCACCTGCTGAACATATCCACCATTGTTTTAGTTGATCCCTGCTTAAAGGGAGGGGGGGGCAAGCAAGGGACAACTGTAAGTTCAGGGTTCACAGTTGCGTAGAAAAGCGTCGATTAGATGGGGGCGGCGCACGTGCTCCAAAATGCCAGCTTGACCAATCAGCAGTCAGCATTTCGTCGCATTTTTGCTCGAAGTAGGGGGTGTTTGAAGGAGTTAGCAGCACTTCAGCTAGGTTCTACGAGGCTGGGACTTGGCCCAGGAACAGAAGACAGGTGTTCCAAAAGATTTACCGAAACAAATTTTCATTACTCACACGGGTATGCCAGAGCAAATGCGTAAACTTCGTGAGGTATAGTACAGTATTGGAAAGGAGTATCCAAAAACGTCTCGGTAAATTTCTTTGCCAGGGTCTCCTGAAAATTTTAAGCCATAGATTGTCCAAATCGACCAAGGGGGAGATGCTCTGTACTGATTTTAGTAACCCCGAGTCCCAGCGGCGCGCAACCGCTTGCGCGAAAATGTGTGAAGATCAAACAACAAGAAAAACGCATGCATGCAGCAGAACAGCAACGCGTGCCGTCGAAGAGAATATCATTGTGCACAGGATTGTTCAGTGTTCTCTCCTCAGTTCGCCCGCGGCGTTGGTTGCTGTGCTTTCATTCTCGCTGGAGTTCTTGTGGCAGCGGATTTCGCCATCATGGAGGAACTGGTACCCTGGTCTTCAGTGGCCCTCGACTAACGCCCGGTGGATTTGCTGGTCCCGTTCACCTCCATCAGCAGCTCCGTGTGGTGTCATCATGTTCTCGACGTTACCTGCCTGGCGAGCTCTGACTTGTTTGTTTGTCTTCTTACCTGTGGATCGCGATCGCTCATTGTAGAATCAGCTTTTGGTCGGACATGGCATGTTGTATTTACTGGGACTAGCACAGGTTGCGTTTCGCCTTCTCCTTCGGTGGACCAATTCTACAAGGCACAGTGAAAGGCAATTCTTTGCCGAGGACAAGCACAACTACTGTAACTGTTCAATGTTGCGGTGCAATTCCCAGTGCAAATAATAAAGCAAACTATTTCCACTGGAGTATGCACAATCGTAAAAGCACAAGATCGACACGAACGGAAACGAGAATGGTTTGATACTGCATGCCGAGAGAAGCGAGGAAAGGACAGGTCCTACCAAAACATCGCCTACGAGAAAGGGCTACAAGTACAACTCGGGTTCTTTCTCTTCTCTATCGATCTCTCTGTTCTGTTTGGATGCGTGGGATGTACACGATCGGTACTCTCCCGGGGTCACGCGACTCACGTGCGCCAAACCCGCCCTCGCACGACGCTTTTGTCAATCATGCATGCCTACTGTGAGCCCTGAAGTTACAGTGGGACATGCTCCCAAGGTTACCATCATACGTGTACTTCAATGGCAGCACTAGGTAACTTGGATTACAGAGATTCTGTGTCATTAGGGGGAGCTGATACAAATTGGATGGTTGACCCATACACTCGAGGTCTATGCCCAGATAGGCAATCAGTGCAGCATTGGCAGGGCATGCACTGCTGTACATCGTGTGTGGAGATGGCAGGTCATGCACTGCTGTACATCGTGTGAAGATGGAATGGCCACCTGTCCCTACTTACCTCCTGCTCTTGCACCAAGACAGTATGCTCCTCTTCAAATACCTGAACACGACAAGATAACAATTCATCACGTTAGCTGATTTGGGTTTGCAGTGCTCACTCGCAAGGGATGGCCACCGTTGACTTGGTACCCAATATTATTTGGACTACACACATAAAGACAACATGGGAGGAACACTGCCTCTGCCACGTCAAGCTCAATGACACTAACAACATAGCCAGAGCACGAAATAGGCATTATACATGCACATAGGAACTTTGATAACCTCTTTTTAAGGAATAGGAAAGTGTTAAGCATTCGATGTACATGTACTCGTACTTCTTGTCTGAACAAGCGGCGGAAATATGCAGTAGTACATCGTGCACAACCCAGGATAATGTTTGTGCCAAGCCAGTACATGATTGTGTCATCAGGGTACGTACTAAATGAGTTCCACTCTAAGTGGCTAAGCGGTAAGGCTGGTATACGGGGGGAATATATAGCGAGCCTCTTACCCGTTTTCTTTCCTCCAGGACTGCAGTGTCTTTGCGAATATCCTACAGTGAACGATTGCATTGGTGACAGTGATCAACCATTATAGGATTACCGGTATTGGTGATAAGGTATATGATGTACGTGCAAAAACCGAACAGCGAGGGTTCCACCCTTTGGAGCCTGGAAACAAATTGTATGCAACTGCAATTGCGATATACTTTCACCATATTCTGGGCACAACTTCGGTTCCGGTAAATTGTATTTACAACATGTTATCAGTCTACAGTTTCAAGATCAAGTTCTTGCCATGTTCTTGGGAATGTGGGGAGAGGGGGGGGGGGGGGGGAGAAAGATGGTTTGGAGAGAGGGTGGCTATGTACAGGTGGAGGGAGGGGAAATGCCTACATTGCATATTAGCTCAGCTTCTCACCTCCAGAAGATGAGCCTTGATTTTCGAAACCCTGACTGGCTGCGTCTTACCATCTTCACCGATGTACACCTGGGCAGAAGATGTAGAGAGGAAACGGAATAGAACTTGAGTTCATCAACAATAGAGTTTGTATATGGTATTGCATGAATGACAGGGCACTATGGTATGTAACAGCATGTCATATTGTCCTCACAACCATCACATAACACACACACACACACACACACACACACACACACACACACACACACACACACACACACACACACACACACACACACACACACACACACACACACACACACATGATTGTATCACTAAGCACGACGAGAACGCCAATTTACAAATTTGGACGGTTTTCAGTTTTCACGGTCTCATCATAAGTCACGCCAGAAAAAGTGTCGGTTCAACAATGCCAGTGTGCCCAATCATGTGCCAGATAGTAAAATTATATCTATGGATACTGTGCCATAGCTCAGTGGTTAGAGCATCGCTAGCTACAAGCGAGGGTCCCTGGTTCGAGTCCTGGTGGTGACAGTCAATTTTTTCTTCAGACTTTTCCCGTTTGTGTCTTTCCCTCAAACTAGTCAAGGATACTGTACCATGATAATAAACTTAGACCCCCTATTGGCCCAACAAGAGTCGCCAGGTACAGATAGTGCCAAGTGTGGGCTCATGCGATGATCCAACATCCCCTACCTGTCCCTTGTTGTCTTCATACCAAGTGTCCTCGTCGGTACCAGCACCCTTAACGCTGACTTCTACAACCCGCAGTGTTGATTTGTTTAGCCAGCCAGTGTGCTCATCCACTACTTTGACTGGTACAAAGTCAACGCTACATTGCATGGGAGAAACAATGGGAACAGCAAACAGAAAGTCACAGGGGTAGCCGGCTCATAACTTGGCAACGAGAGTGGTCAGTAGCAGTATGGGAGATTAGATTGGTTACTGCTGTGAACCCACCTGTTACATGGACCTACGCTCGTAGATCTACACTGCAGTGGAACATACACGTTGTGCATGTCATGTGTTCTGGGATCAGCTTAGACAATTTTGATGGTTTTGTGACCAGAAAAAAGCCATCAGCGGCAACCCTGCCGTGACCATGTGTATGCGTGCACGCATCATAAGGAAAATAACCTTGCAATGACTATTCACAGCCGATACAATAGTGATTGATACCTTCCACCAGCAAGCAGGCACCCAAAACCCTGGCTAAGACCAGCTAGGATATCGACCATGGAAGTGATATAACATGGTTGCTTCTTACCCATACATCTGCCTCTGCACACTGGGGTTGAAGTCGACCACGGCATCCTTGACGTCATTCATTACTTGACTCTGCTGCAGTCGATCGCAATGGATACCACGCACCGTACCTGGTGGTGATATATGGTAGGTGAACAAGACACCGATCATTGCAAGCACACATGACAATGATGACATTGGCAAGTCCAAAGAATTGTTTCTCCTCGACTCTTCAAAGGGTGTACAAATGTGACTGACCAAATCAACAACTGAGCAGGCACCCAACAAGCTTTATTATAGAGCAACTGGACTACCAGGACTTCCATCGAGGACCGGAGACAACGAAGGAAGCGCGCGAACTCACACACAAGTTGATCATACATATCCGCTACACAGTTTCATTGCCTAACACATTCCCTCCAACCCTTGTGGGCCGCTGGTGATATCACAGTAGATGAAATTGAGCCCAAGTAACGAGAGCAACGCAACAAAGTGGCATACAGCTAGTCTTCATTCAGGCTTGGGTTACATACGTGCATGCCATTGTGCAAGCTCAAGCTGGATACAGATCTATTTCATTCCTTGGTGCTGACCGCTTTAATGCGCTTCCCGAATCCCTTCGCACAAATCATATCCCCAATTCGTTTCAGAAGGAAACGGCAGGGATAATTACAGTCCATTCAGAAAAAGATGATATCCTAGCTTTTGGCCATAAACAGCCTGCGGTCAAATTTTGAGTTTTCGTCACAATATTTTTGGCAATCCCCCATGGAATGCTCTTCCAATTGTGTTTTGAAGTCTTTTTCTCCAAAAAGCAAGCCATAACAAGAATAGGATTTCGGCCAGGTTTTGCCCCCAAAGCACTGAATTGGGTAAAAACCATGAAAATCCAGGCCGTTCACTCCACTTGCATAACAGTACATTTGCGGTTCGAACCCCAGTTGAGGTGCCTTTTTGGACCCTTTTTCAAGTTTCGAATCGCGGGGCATTGCACAGTGTACCATAAAATCGCCAAACACAGGAGCTCTCCAGAGCCAGCGCTCATCTTTTTCTGAATGGACTGTAATCATGATACAAGCAATTGTAGCATCATCTTGGTCAAGTTTTCACAAGGCTATAGTCCTTACCATCTTCTTTCACACCAATGTAAAGACAGCCGCCTTGTCGCGAGTTAAGGAAAGCGCAGGCAAAAGAACCGACATCCTGCAGGTGCACAAGATAAGAAGCATTGCATGGGTGTCAACAGTCAGCCCAAAACCCAGCAGTAATCCTAACCCTGCTGGCATCGAGGCACTGATCATTGTATACGTTGGACTCTGTACACGATCCATGCACTGTATGATGTCCAGCACCCTATTGAGTACAGAGTGTTGTTGATAGGTCCAAAATCACACAGTATGCAGTTCGGGGAGTCCACTGCTGCGCCGCAGTTATGAGGTATGCTGCATTGTCTGCGAGCCGCAAACTTCCCTGTAGAAAGCTTGAGTGGGGAGTTTTTGCGAGAGCCGTATACTCAATGCTTTCAAACTAAATGGCTGCACCTTCAAACCCCATCTGATCAGGGGCTTCCAAAAATTGGCCAATGTAAAAGACAGCCTCTGCCTGTTTGGAAATAAACTTTAATGAGACGGCTTTTACACCTATTAATACTCGAACCCAATAAATTCTGTAGCGGATACCAGGAGTTTTGAAGGCAGTAGTTCATCTTGAATTCATTCTGGAAACCGGTTCTCAGTTTAGAACTGTGTCATCATTGAAGCATACCAAATCATACGGTCAGCGAAATGCATGAAGATCGTCGCTTACCAAGCCAAACATCAGCTCCAGGTAATTATTCTCGCCGGTCTTGAAGACCTGTATTCGGTTGTCTTGGGGCACAGCAGTTCCTTGCTCGTAGTACCGTTCCCCTGGGCTAGAAGGTGGCAGTGGCAGAAGGGGTACACACAAAGTATAAGAGAAAAGCTTCAGTTTTTAAGAGTGGGCTCAATTATGTAAACATGGCTGTATTCACGCATGCACCCTACTGTCATCTTTAACGCCTTACCTTCTTCACAAAACAGTTCCATATTATGTGAAGAAGGTGGCTGAATGTTGGAGCTCGTCTTCACATCAAATAATAATTTATACTGATTGTGCTAGATTCTCGCAGGAAGCATGTAGTGTGTGCAAGCCATGTGTCCACTTACGGCTCTTCATTCTTGGTTTTTCCTCCGAACGTTTTCATCAGGCGAGGTCTCCATCCTGTCATGAAAACGCGCACAGAGATCCATGCATGTGGCACATGCACACACACGCACGCACACACATACACACACACATGCGGGTCCCCACATCCAAACACATCCACAACCAACCATACGGGTATGCACATACAAACACACAGCAACATGTTTCTGCTACCTTGCTTCCTCTCAAAGAGAAATAGTCTCTCCCCCCCCCCCCTACACACGCAAGTACGCACACACTCACACGCAAGTACGCACACACACACACACACACACACACACACACACACACACACACACACACACACACACACACACACACGCAAGTTCGCACACACTCACACGCAAGTACGCACCCCCCCATACACACACATCCACGCACACACATACACACAATCTGTAGTCACATAGTCCACTGCTTGCATCAATGCAAAATCTGGCCAAACAGATGTAATCCGTCGAGCATGTGCACTACAAAGTTGTCTAATTATTGCTTCAGAATGAAACCTCAAGTCACAACAGGTTCTATTTGGACCTCTTCTCGGGTAGAAATTGAAGGAAAAAATAACTCCACTGTACTCCGTGCATTGAGTTGCCCTTTCCCGGAAGCTGCCACAACTTTCTGCTATAATATCCCCAGCACATACTCGTAGACTCCCCCCCCCCCCCCCCCTGGGGAATATTGCGCTGCAGCATCCAATCTGTTATACAAGCGTGGCAAGCACTGTTTCAATTTCTTACGCAAAGACATGCCACTACTGGCGGCGTGAGCTGGCTTGATGAATATTATAACTCAGGAATTTATCAAAGTGTGCATTCCTACCATCTAGACCTGGCAGTGCGCCTTAACCTGCTAGAGACGGTGCCCAATGCCCGTGATGGAAAGAACATAGTACCGCAGATGCACACACAGCAAAGTAAGGGCTTTTTGCTGTTACTTAGAGTTTTATGGTTTAACAAGAAATCATCTGGCAATAAGCCTAGCAGTGCATACATATCTACCAGTTATCTTCCACACCTACCTTGTGAAATGAGATTCCTTTCCGTCTCTTTGGCGGCCAGCTCCCGCTCGGTTTTGCGAGGTGACGTTGGCAGAGACGCTACGCCTAACTTCTTGTATTTTGACTTGGATCTGTCGTTTAGTCTCTGCCGTAGCTCATGCAACTGTCGATTCTCAACCTAGGATTGGAGATGATGGTAACACATGCAGACAGATAAGCGTGTGCATTGTGTATAGCATTCACAGGGGCGTAGCACCCGCTACGACTGGTACGACCATGGCCTTACCACTTTTCGAAAAGTGTGGTCCGTCCGGAACGTGCAAAACCGTGATACAAATATCAGGATCCATCAGGACCCCCTCCGACACGGCCTTCGGCCGCGCCGACCTTCGGTCGTACCACTTCCAAAACCCCTGATGCAACACGAAGCTCCCCTCCCCCCCCCCACACCCTATCACTAAGTAAAGCAAAGTCCACACATCCATGTTACAACTGCCTATAGAGGGTACTGCAAGTCTACACATTTTCGGCCCATTCAAATTTCGGCCTCCCAGGGCTAAAACCCATTTCGGCCGCATCAAATTTTCGGCCTGTTCTGCTGCTGCCCGTACACACTGTCACACTGAACCTTGCAAAACAAAATTTCGGCCGCAAGAAATTTTCGGCCAAACATGACCTGGCCGAAAATAGCTGAAAATAGATACGCACCGAATATTAGTCGACTTACAGTATGCAATTACATCACCAGTTGAGATGCTTTGGCGAAGTTGTGGCACAGTGATACACTGGCACTTGCGACCCACGGCGGATATACATAGCGCTTGCCATGTACTAATCGCCCAGAAGAGAATCCACTGACTCGACCCCTGAAATCATAACCTCTCTCCAAACACCTACATCAACCTATGGTACTGAAAATTGGCTTCCCTTCTTGATACTTTTAAAACTGCATGACCCCCTTCCCTCACCCCATTCCCTCACCCCATTCCCTCACCCCATTCCCTCACCCCATTCCCTCACCCCATTCCCCAACCCAACCACTCTGCATACCAGGTGAGTTAACGTTAGCATGGTCCATACCTGTAGCTTAGTGTGAGGGGCCGATAGGCAGTCACCATCGATCTTGCTGCGTGGTAGGCCATGCAGTGCGCGAATGGCGAAGACTCTCTCACGCTCGCTGTACAAACTGATGATGGCGTGAGCGCAGGACAGATCGTCCGACTGGTGTACTCGTATCTGCAATCACAGATAACAAGAATGACAATGAAATATCCCATTGAAGCATTCACCCCACCATGCATCGGACCGTGGCGATTGGGACGGGGTTTAGTTTGATGCTGATCTCAGGCCCAGAGCCAGCTCCTGAGGGTTGGTACTGTCCCAGGTCGGCTGCAGGGCCAATCATCTCTTCATGCCCAAGTTCAGTGTCATGGGAGGTTACATTGCTTACTCTACAAATCATATCTGGTTGTCTCGTCTACACAATCCTCCAGCAACAGATACATACCGTACTGGCAATATATGTTGCCGCGTAACGCGTAACGCAGGGGGGGGGGTACGGCGTAACGCGCGACCAGGCTAGTGCGACAAATTTTCGTTGAGTTCGTAACGCGCGTCCGGCGGGGTGCGGCGATCTTTTCATTGCAAAAAAGGCTGAAAACTGTGAAAGCACGTGTACCGCGTGGTGAAAAGTTCAAAACTGGACGCAGCAGGAAGTCCTGCAATAGCAAAAAAAGGACTGCGGCAATATAGAAACCTGTGTAACGGCTCCTGTGCGACTTTGCATGTAACGCCCTGCGTGCGGCAAACATGTGCCAATGTAACGCTTCATGGCCTCACTGCGGCAACATATATTGCCAGTACGGTATTATGCAGCTCGCACAGTAGATTTCACTGGGCAAGAAGAACAGTTTCAAAAGAAGGGAGAGAAAATAATGCACTATGGATATTCCTTGACCGATGGAATCGGTAAAACTGGTACAAGCAGGACCATGACCATGCTGTACCAGTGGCACAGGACCTGAATCTAATCATGGTGTAGGGGACTTTATGCCACACATGTGCATGTTCAGTCACATGGCTGATCAGTGATCATACCTTTGTTACGGGTTCACGATTCATATACGAACGCACTCACACACTAATGACCTCTCTCCCATACATGTATATGCATGTAGACACACACTTGTGCCTGTGCGAGCCGAGATCTAACAGATGGTACATACCTGCCTGATGTTGATGGTGAGTTTAGCTGACCGACTGAAGAGACGAGCAATGGAGGCAGGGTCGGCGCTGGGACGCAGGTTGCCAACATACACTGAGAACTCTTCCATTGTCCTCCTCCTCCTCGCTGCTACCTACAGATAATAGCTGTGTTCCAGGTCTGCATATACACACACACACGCACGCACACACGCACGCACGCACACACACACACACACACACACACACACACACACACACACACACACACACACACACACACACACACACACACACACACACACACAAACATGTGTGCGTACATACATGTATACTGTTCAGAAGTAGCCATATTTTTCGGAAAAACAGCTTTTTTAGCAAAACACTGCCCTTCTTCATTTTCATGTAGGAAACATTAAAGGGGCACTCCGGCTTCATTTTCGACGCCGAGTTTTCGATGCCAAGACGAAGGTAGGTGAAAGAGAAGACCCCTCGAACAAGAACGATTCTCCAGAAGCGATCGAGTCGAGCAGGAAGACGACTTTTGAATTTCGGCCGAGCGAGCGCTGATGACGTAATGAGGGATTAGCTTGCCAGTGGAAATGCATCTGCGCACATACATTTCACACACTTTTTGGCCAATTTTCAATCGAGGAAGAGGTTGTTTGCTATGTTCTCCCAAAGCCGTGAGCGATCCCGTCTTCTATACCCTTCCAGGTACCCTGAAGGTCCTCCAGAGGAGAATTTATCTCCATCGAAGCGTTGTTGATCCGCTAAATTCGTCTCGAGACATATTCACCTAGTGCAGTGCTGATAAATGTAGAATGTTGAATCTGTGATAATTGTCGACGATGGAGGGAGAGGCTGATAGCCGCTGTCGCAGGGAGAGTGAAGCTGCTGGAAGTAACAACGGGGAGCCCGTTTGTATCACCTGAACAACCAGACTTCAAAGCAGCTTGACCAAATCGGAGGGTGCCTCGTTGCTGATCGTGAATATTACACCGACATGAATTACTACAAGTATACTGGTGAGTTTTTATCTTGTTTTGTTCTTATGCTAGTACCCTGGCCTGGAGTGCTCGTTAGCAAATTCCTATTCCCTGGCGTTTTCTAAACATTCCGTGTAGGACTGAATACGTGATCAAGTATTCCGATTTGGGTAGATGTGGAATTTAGACATGTATTTGATAAAAAAAAAATTCCAAATAGACCGTTTGTAGAGAAATGGTTGCCCAAATACAACAAAATTTATTCTGCAGTTCTACAACTAACTTGTACTGAAATCCAGTCAAAGTAAAAATGATTCTTCATGACAGTTGGGGTCAATGAAATCTGATCCAGGCATAACGAATGGTGACGCCTGCCACCCCGGGAACGAATGCCCATTTGGTGGGGGATACCAAAGTACTCGAAAGTAGTGCGTGTTTCAATGTGGCATGGAAGTTTTATATGATCTCTGGTCAATGCAACATATGATAGCCATCATGAATTGCAGGTCTCGAACGCAACTCCGACCAGAATTGGCAGTTCCCTAAGTTAGATGCTTTATAATTCCATGGCCCCAGCTGTAGTTATAGAGGTTTTTTTGCACATTATTCTTATAGTCGATAGGTTTATACTGATGGCCACAAACAACGGCAGTTCAAACTTCACTGATGTGTTCATGAGCTGAGAGATTTCTCTCCACTATTTCTGTTGTGCACACAGGTCTGTCCAATATGCATTGACCGTATTGGGTATGGTACCTGCTCTGAGAAGGGAATCGCTGGAGCCACAGTCCAACTATACAGGCTTTCAAGAAACAGAGAGGAGCCATCTTTGCAAGCTGATACCTGATGTGTACCGACAGAATTCTCACGAGATACCTTACAGACTACGCCTGGGGTATACTTCATAGTACTCCTTCGACTACTGTCCAGAATCAAGTCGACTGAAGCAAGTTCAAACAACTCTGGCTTCAAACTAGCCGTCGATTAGACAAACAAAACATTCTCTCATATACTAGAGCACTCTGACAACTCACGACCTATTCCTAACGATTGCCACCACTTATAAATATGTAGAGTACTGATTGGAATGTGCTCATAATCTCAACAATTCAGTGCTATAATTATTTGAACTATGTGTTCCTTCCATAAATGTTGTATCCACATATAATCCACAGTGCTGCAAAGTTTCAGAGTTCTCAGGGTATCAAAAAAAATTATTTCAAATACAGTGAAATTGTTCGTGTACATTATAGCGTAACTTGTAGTTCCCTGGTCCTTTTCTTTGCTATAATTCTTTTCTTTGCTTTGCTCTCTAGCCGCCGGCGAGTCCAACAGTGAAATTGTTAGTTCATATTTATGTGTGTGTGTGTGTGGGGGGGGGGGGGGGGAGGGTTGAACATAATTCTATATAAGGGACCTGCAACTGTAATACCACAGTACAGTAGATAGCAAATATGTAGAAAACAGAAATGCATGTTCCCATCATTGTACATGGACGGGCGCAGCAGGCCGAAGCTATCAGCAAGAACAGGATTTACAATCGCCTAGAGATACTTGAGCTATTCCAGTATTCTCCGTGAGCTGTCCGATTCCACAATGGTTCATGCCACCATTATTTCTGGTAGTATCCATGTGCATAATTCCAAGACCATCTCGGATTCTTCAGCAATTTGTGCCACGGCAAAAGACAACGCTTGACTCGGTCACTGGGGCTGTCAAACTTCGCATCACAAATGAACTTCAATTTCTCATCTGGTTCAAGTATATGTACTGCCATGACTTGACCATGCTTCATCCACAGCTAGGCGAAGATTGTGGCGTTGAATTCCATAGCGCACCTTCTTGCCGCCATGCAGGAGAATGTTGAGAGAAGTGAACATATTTTTACTAAAAAAACAACAGCCACTGAAGAGGATAGCATTAGCAATAGCCTTGGGTGAATTTCCTGCAGGTACACGTTGTTGGTAGGTCTACTGGTCGGTCTCCATATCGTCAAGTTCAGAAATCACCTGTCCTACACATCTTGTAGAAGGGATCCTGATCGAAAAAGTTTCTGATCATAAAATTCACTAAACTGAGGGCGAGACAAATAGTCAGTACTCCCCGATTCCGTCTAGCTGCTTTGATCAAGTGATGCTAACAAGCTCCCCGTTGTTACTTCCAGCAGCTTCACTTTCCCTGCGACAGCGGCTATCAACCTTTCTGTCCATCGTCGACAATTATCACAGATTCAACATTTTACATTTGTCAGCACTGCACTGGGTGAATATGTCTCGAGACGAATTTAGCGGATCAACAACGCTTTGCTGGAGATAAATTCTCCTCTGGAGGACCTTCAGGGTACCTGGAAGGGTATAGAAGACGGGATCGCTCACGACGTTGAGAGAACATAGAAAACAACCTCCTCTTCGATTGAAAATTGGCCAAAAAGTATGTGAAATGTATGTGCGCAGATGCATTTCCACTGGCAAGCTAATCCCTCATTACGTCATCAGCGCTCGCTCGGCGAAATTCAAAAGTCGTCTTCCTGCTCGACTCGATCGCTTCTGGAGACTCGTTCTTGTTCGAGGGGTCTTCTCTTTCACCAACCTTCGTCTTGGCATCGAAAACTTGGCGTCGAAAATGAAGCCGGAGTGCACCTTTAACTTTTTGAGCGCCCCTCGTACATGCAGGTAAGGAAACGCATTTCCTGTCAATGGCAAATGAACAATGCAGTGCTGCCAAACGGTCTAATATATCGGACACTGTCCTAAACTACACCCTCTATCCTAAGACCAGTTCGAAAACGAACCTCTCCGATTTTTCTTTGGACAGAAACAGCCAAAGATTGTATGGGCAGCAGTATAGACTCTCTTATCCCGGCAGTCCAGGACCGGGCACTGTCCATACCTTGGAAATGTCCCTAACTCTCAATCACGCACATTTTGATGGAGAATGGCCAGAGATTTAGCATATGGCGTCACTATTTCCGCACATATTTGCAAAATGAGTAGTAATATTTCCACTAAAACTCGCCAAGAGGGTGCGAGACGAAGGTGCCAGTAACGTCGAGGTCCTGATAAGAGAGGTATGAGCGTGGTTGCTAGGTTGAGTACATACCGTATTTTCCGGAGTATAGTGCGCACTTTTGATGTGCTATTTTAGGCCCTAAATCGCAGGTGCGCACTATGCTCCGAATATGAAATGCATGTACTTCAATGAAGATTGAAGTGCGCACTCCCAATGAAGATTGGGGGTGCGCGTTATACAAAGGTGCGCACTATACTCCGAAAAATACGGTACTGTACGTTGGGTCACGTCAGGAGAAGGTGCCTGATTTCGGATGAACAAATTTGCCAGCACTGCATACTTATGTTTTCGAAGAATGAAATCTGACCAACAGCGGTGTTCCCTCAGAAGTTGGTTAGTCCAGAACGTAATGAAAGTCCTTTGATTGTGAATTCTTACAGTCGGGGTGGAAAACTCAGCAGGGATCCTGCAACCTCATACTATTCATAGTCAATTAATTATTTCAACAAGATAATTATGAATAAATGGCTTACCGACTGTCAGTGATGTTTGTTGTAATGGCATACACTGGCACTATGCGAGACCCAACACGCTGGTGAGCGGTGGCTGTCACGTCCACAAAAGGTTCGCTGGAACTCTGGTCGACTGGATTTTTCTGGACAGCGTTTGCCGCGTCTATCTCGATTCCCTGGGACTCAATGGACGTTGTGCAGGTCATGCACGATACCGTCACCTCGACAAATCACTATTGTTGCTGCAAAATATTATCCGCAGCGAAGCGTAAGTAGTCTGTGACTGCTCGGAGGCTTTCTCGAAACAATCCCTACCCTAATTCAGCTTTGGCCATAACATGTAAATTGTTTCTTCTCCACCCAATACTGCCGCCTTCGGAGTCTGCTCAGGGAAACGTCGGATTGTTTACGCCCGTCCCTCGATGTATCCACGAGATCATTCTGGGCAGTCGTTACCAGGACAACGTTGATCTACAGTGCAGTCCGGTCAGTGCATGTGAAGTGTGTGCTTTGTAGTCTGTCCACTGACTGTCGACATGTCCGTCGTTACTTGCGGCGCAAAAGGCAGTTTGCATGGCAACCTGGATTTCTGGCGCAGCAGAGCGCGCACTTACCATGCTTACACTGCAGTGCTGGCAGTCGGAGTTTGACGGATACTAGATAGGAGGAAGGGCAGACCGCACAGCCTACACTACGGCAGTACGGTGTCACACTCATTGAGCCTGTGTCCTGGTGTCCGACTGACCAGGGAACGGTCTGTGGAGTGTAGGCACGGCAGTATTGCTTTTATTTTACATCGCAAGTCAAACGGGCAATCATGCCCAATGTTATGATGACGATGGAAAGGGAGAAAAGAATAAGAACAAGATTAGTTATCCTGGATTATGGGGAGTGAAGAAAACAGTGAGTCTAGGAATCTCTCCTTAGATCCATGTTAACATTGGTCATGAAAGTAAACTTTCAATGGACGTGCAGTAACCAGGAACCAACATGATGATTGCAAGCTGCAGCCTGCAGGAGTTGGGACTCCTTCTTCTTTTTCTTAGCGCCGTTATGCTAACTTCGCTTAGGCTTACGTACATGTACATGTACATGTATGATTGTATCACCAGTGCCAGTGGGTTGCGTACATCATGAACGACCACCACACCGGAAACACTACGAGCATACCTGAGAAGAACTAACTATAAACTAACTTTCTTGGAGAAGCCAAGGCACACCATCCATATACTTCGTGGACTGTGTGTGATTGCCAGGCATCAGCACGCATGAAAGTCGTGTCACTGGGATTGGGTAGTTGACTTCAGTTGGGGAGGCAAAGGCGACGAGGGAGAGGATATGAACACTGCCCTTACTATGTCAAGCTCATTGAAACCGGAGGTCTCCTACATCTCCTGCCCCTACGGGCAGACAGACGATGCCTATGCCTATGGGGGAGGGGGGGGGGGGGGAGTCTCCGTTCATGGCTTACTGGGAATATAATTTTGCAGATATATTCCCAGTAAGCCATGAACGGAGACCCCTCGACTTAGGCCTCGGCCTTTGGGGAATCCATAAATAAATAAATAAAATAAAATGGGCTACCTTTACCGTTACCCTTTACAAGTAACAGGTGACCAAGGACGAACAAAGACTGAAATATTCTTTGGCATATTCAACCGCCCGCCCACTTCACCATTTACATACTAACTTACAATGTACATACATGCATGTACATGTACTTACTTCCCATGTACACTGTACAGTGTATAGTGTATACATGTGATGTCCTTGGGTCAAAGCTGATTAGTACAGTCATGTAATGTTGTTGTTTCAAGCCTTCATGGTCGTTGATGAAGATACAGACGAACCACGCCATGGCATGGATGACCTTGGCCCATCCTACATGTACATGTACATGTATCAGGACTCAGCGTCTAAACAGACTTTGTTGATGTATGATGGCGTACTTCCACAATAGGGGAATGTACCCTGAAATGAATAGCCCTTGGCGGAAAATTCTCGAAAATTGGCAGATTCTGCTCGAAAAGCAGTGAAATTGGCAGGACCATACAAACCTTATGGCAAGCACTTCGTTGAATTCTGCTCAATTTCTCTATCCGAATACCAAACATGCACGAAGCATACCATGGAAAGTACCAAATTCTGCAAAAGTTTCTGCCAGCCCATTAAAATCCTGAGCTGCCTGACAACATTACAATGTTTACACAGGAGTTCTAGTCAGCACTTGCTCTTTATGAAGAAGAGGTTGGTGCGACTTCAGCGATAATTGGGGAATTGTGTGTTGTTCCCTACGTGGGAGCTTGGGCTATTCCTGCCGACTTGAATTCTCACTTGACTGACTCACGACTGCCATCCAGAGCACACGAGACGTCCATCGAACCGTCCACTCGGCAAACCTGCAAGAAAGCACCACACCCTGCTCAATACGCCTGTTGGTAATTCCCTAGTAAAATAAGAATTCACTGTAACATGATACTTTATACGGTCAGAAAGTGCAATAACTAGGCACAACACTGACAGAGTACTGAGACATTCGACGTCCTGACACCTAGCTTCAAAACATCTCCGACAGCCTTCCAACTTGGAAGGTTCAAGGTTATGGAAAGACCAAAGAGGGGAAGGCAAGCGCAACGAAAACGAGCAAAAGCTACAGTCATAACGGAACAAAGAATGTCGATTGTTACTGGACGATGACGAGACCAGTACGATACTTGACAAAGCGGTCTAACTACCTAAAGCAGCAAAGCAGCACACCACCCAACTTGGAAGGCTGTCGGTTAGCGCTACGGAGATGTTTTGAAGCTACATGTAGGTGTCAGGACGTCGAATGTCTCAGTACTCTGTCAGTTTTGTGCCTAGTTATTGCACTTTCTGACCGTATAAAGAGTTTAGTACCATGTTACAGTGATGGAGAGTTACTCTTAACTCGTATCCATAATGTCTTTTCCTTTCTACATGTATTTATCGCTCAACATCCGAGTTTCAAAATAAGAATTAAAATAAAATAAATAAAATACACAGTGTTTCGGGGAATTCACCCCTCATATAGCTTGAGTAGGCTGAGGGAGATTGAATTGTGCCTGAAGAGCACCACTTATATTGTACTGCTCTCTGGGCACAAACATCACCAGGGATACACACTTACAGAGACGCTCCGTTTCCAGCGCGACAAACACCTCGTGAACACCAGATAGCACTATTAGCAGCGTGAGTCAGTGTCGCTCACGGAGGTGCTGAACAGTCGCTGAGGACCGTTGGCCATTCACAACGCTGTGGCCTCCAAACCATCTTATTCGCAAGCCCGCGACGGGGACAACAATGTGAAGAAGAGGTTGGTGCGACTTAGGCCATAATGGGAGAATTGTGTGTTGCTCCCTACGTGGGAGCTTGCGCTATTCCTGCCGACTTGAATTCTCACTTGACTGACCCACGATTGCCATCCAGAGCACACGAGAAGTCCATCGAAACGTCCACTCGGCAAACCTGCAAGAAAGCACCACTTCAGTTACGGTGCTAATGCTATCGTGGAGTGTTACCGTACAGGTGGCCTGTTCGTGCAGGTGTCTGCAAGCGCCGAGGCGAGTGGTCCACTGGGGTCTAAAATACAAAATAAGCATGTTTTAAAACCAGTAGTATGTGGAAGACGTAAGGGATTCCTACGCACATGCAATACAAGTAAATCAATGATATCCTTCCCGTGTTTCCAAGTAAGTTCAATACTACTAGTATACTCAAACACACATGTAGCAGAAGGAGAAGAGGATTCTCCGCAATTCCGATACGAGTTTGGCGTTTTCACCATCACCAGTGGGTCCATTGTTATTAGGCATTTATATGCCTGTTTTTTAATTTCCACTATAAATAAAGTATACAACAACAACAACAACAACAACAACAACCAGACGTCACGATTAGGACAGTACTAGTATCATGAACGTGACAACGCGAAACTAGGAGCTGCACCGAACATTTCCCTCTGTTCCCGTCTCCCTTCCTATGCGCCTCGGGCTGTGGCTAAGGCCAAGGGATCTCTCTTCGAGAAATACATGTAGCTCACTCTGAGCGTTCAGGTTTAGCCAAAAGACTTAGACTGAGAGTCCATACACTCCACCCGGTAAACCTACACTCGATAGCTATTACATTGTACATAACCATTGTACATGTACATGTACATGTAAGTACACTAATATCACCATGGGTTTCTAATCTACATTGTGCATGTGCATATACCTGTCCCACAACTCCAACATCTCAAATAATTTAATAATTTGCATTCTCTAAAGTAGAGAAACGTGTGCCAGTGATCTGGTGATGGTCAGTAGCAGAATTAAGGTGCTCCCAGCAGGGAGCCACCATGGTCACTGGGTGCTGAAAGTGAAAGAGAGAAATGCACCATCAATAGGCATCATGCACAATCTGGTAACAGAAATTATTATATGACTGGTTTATGTGGACAAAAGGAAGGCCACAAATGCCTGGAGTAATGACTAACTACTAGTATCCACCAATGAGTACATGTACATGTGTATGTAACCAGATCATTTCCAGTCAGCAAGTGCGATAACATGGCACAACACTGACAAGGAGTACTGAGACATTCAACGACCTGACACTTACTTTAGCTCCAACACATCTACGAGGCACAAATCAACAACCTTCCAGCTTAGAAGGCTCAAGTTAGGAAAGGTCCAAACAGGGGAAGAAAGAGTTCAGTAGATATTGGCGCTTCAGTTGCAGTCAGTATCACCATCTCCTCAGAACAAACTGGCACCGGGCCACTCATAGCATATGCGAGTACTTCGAAGTACAGGAAAGAGGGTACAATGTCCTACTCTGCTTGGGCCTAACCTCTCCTCACAGACAGTCTCCTCTTGAATTTAAAAGTCTAACAGCGCTCACGTCAATACTCAACTCATTCTTTTGCTCACTGAGCAACACAATCTTTTCATTTTCTTTCTTCTGTTTTCTTTTTCAACTTAATCCTCCCTACCCGATTTCCCTTTGGTGCATACATGGAGCTATGAAGCCGAGACCTCTGCCTCTGTTAATGGGCCCCGCCACCACACTCCATTATTCCCCCCAGTGTCTGGAGATAATTATGTGGATTTTGTAGAAAAAATGAAGAAAAAAGTCACAATTCGTCTTCGCTCATATTCCCCTTCTATGTTTGTTAGATGAACTCTAGCCTCCTAATAGTTGCATGTACATGTAGGTGGTCTGTTGCTTTGCGTCGTCGAGTTGGAGTAAGAACGGTATCTTTAATACTAGTCTCGTCAGCATCCAGTATTAAACGTTAGGCATTCTTTGTTGCCGTGGGACATACATGACTGTACTCGTACATGTAACGACCGTAGTCGTTAGCTCGTGCTCATCTTCTGACTGTGCGCTTTCAACATCCGAG